CAGCAATAGTTTGAAGTATGAAAAACTTAATTGTGTCTTAAATCGGAGAGAAACCATTCGGTATACAGGTTGACTCCACACAAGATGTTGGAATGGTAGATCAAGCAACAGTAGTTGTGAGATATGTGCAAGATGAAGCCATTAAAGAACGGCTTGTGGCGATTCTCCCTGTTGAAGGGACTCGCCAGTGCCAGGAAAACAATCAGTTTTCCTGGCACTGCAGGTCCCCTCTCCCTCCCATCCCCGGTTGCTGAAGGGGTGAAAACCCCTTCAGTGACTTACCAGAGGCAGCGACGATGTCCCTCGTGGCTGCTTCTTCCTCCGCCCATGCTCCTCCCCGTCACCACGTCAGCCAGCGGGGGAGACCGATCCCACCCGCCGGCGGGTGAAACCTAATCCGCATGCGCGGCAATGCCGCTTACGCGCATCAGACCTCTCCATAGGAAAGCATTGAAAATTGAAAATGCTTTCCTATGGGGATTTTAGCGACGCTGGAGGTCCTCACACAGCGTGAGGACATCCAGCGATGCTATAACACGGAAAACCCGTGCTATAGACCAGGAAGTCCCCTCTAGTGGCTGTCTAGTAAACAGCCACTAGAGGAGGAGTTAACCTTGCAAGGTAATTATTGCAGTGTATGAAAACTGCAATAGTTACAGGGTTAAAGGGACACTATAGTCACCCAGACCACTTCAGCTCAATGAAGTGGTCTGGGTGCCAGGTCCCTCTAGGGTTAACCCTGCCTGCTGTAAACATAGCAGTTTTAGAGAAGCTGCTAGGTTTACATTTGGGGTTAAGCCAGCCTCTAGTGGCTGTCTTCCGGACAGCCACTAGAGGCGCACCTGCAACGCTGGAGGCATATTATGCCTCCATCATGCAGAGCGTCCATAGGAAAATGCCTTCCTATGGACACTTTGAATGCGTGCGCGGCACTGCCACGCATGCGCATTCCGCTACGCTGACGTCAGAAAAAACACAAATTTAATCTCTGTAGCAAAGTCACAGTGCAGCAGAGAACCACTCTGGCAATCAGGCTGGCTTACACAGCCACATGCTCTTCCACCCCCTTCCCCCACCCCCCCCCCAAAAAAATAAAAACAGAATGCAGACAGATTGCAGAAGAAAAAAAGGCAAATCTCACACTCTCTCCCCCTTCTCTCTCTCTCTCTCGGGAACACCCGTAAAAGCAATGTGGCTCCATAAGTCTGCAACAAGTAAATGGAATGTGGTTTACCTTTCTCAGTTTCTTTGTAGTATCACAACGAGTCTGCTGTCTGGTCACATAAATGCAAGCCAACACCCTGACAGCCTGATTTATTACTATCCCACCTCAATTACTCTGTGTGCCTTCATTGGCCAAGTGTCAGTGACAAAAATCACCATTAATTGGCTGTCCTCTAACATCAATCACAAAAATTTGCTCATTTCATTGGAAAGGGAATAGTGAAACCGAATTGGGCAAGCACGCATTACATTGCACTAAAGGAATTCGCTTATTGGTCAAGATTCCTGTCATCATTACATAATTCCCCCTCCCTGTCTCTTGTTTTGCCGCTTTTCCGCAATTCTGAAGCACTTCGGACATTCGTAAGCATCTGAATGTCCGAATTGCTGAAATTCGTCCAAATTTACAATGAGAACAAAATGAATTGCACGTCTACTCTCTTTAAACTGTATATAATGTGACAAGAGCAATCTCGCCACATTGCATTGGAGAAGCCTGGTTGCTCGCCTGCTGCCCTTGGATTATGGCCCCATGTTAAAAGACTTTGTTTCCCCTGCAGAAAAAAGACTTATTCGTGCTTTTCTGCCCGGTGTTTGGTAGATTCAATCTACCGAACAAACCCACGAATGACTAGACCACCTGGGAGCTGGAGTGTGCCGGCAGCTTAATTGACGAATACTGGGTGGCCACCGTTCGTATACCGAACACTAGGTCTCGGCCATTTTAAACACGCGAACGCACAGCGGTGTTTGACGCCTAACTCATTGAACTAAAAACGGATACAGTTTGGCGCGAACACCGCTGAAGCCGCCGACCTCCCTTCTTGTTCGGCGGGAGTTCACGAATAGCCCGCTGTTCGGTAGTTTTACCTGACTGTATTGTACCCCAGATAGGAATCCCATGGAGCTCATTTGTATGAGAACTAACTTTGTAAAGACTTTGGTTCCATGGTGATTGAACTGTATTCGTGTGGTCTGAGCGCCATTCGCTTAATAATGTGCGCTCAGACCTGAGCTATCTGGGGATATGTTAAATGTATGGTTTTAATGTAACTTGTGTCACATAGTGTATTTTAATAGTAATTCTTGTTTCAGTATCCCCATGTGCATAATGGCGATTTGCCTTTGTCTTGGGAGATAATTGAATTACTTCTCAGTTATCTCCAGGGCAGAGGGGAGGAAGCCAGGATGCATTGTGGGAATACAATGTGACTGTGTGTCCTATTTGTCTACTTGTCTGTCCCTTGTCACAGTCTCCCATTTGGTCCCCTAGGGTAGTGTGCACCAGGTGGGAGACCTGCATAAATACTGGGCAGGTAGCCCTCAGTAAACAGACCACTGCTTGACCCTCAACACGGAGCCTTGTCTCGTCTTTGGGGGGGATTTACTGAACGCTGATAGAGACTGATTGCTAGGAGTGTAAGCCGCTTGGGTGCTTTTCCTATTCGTCTGCTAGTAGCGATTCGTATGGTTACAGTTCATGTGTTTGGAGTGCTATATTGTATGCTGTTCGGGAGTTTGGAGCATTCCCTTATTGGCGGTTCGTGAGTTTGGTGTTCTACAGTAGCTGTGCCTGCATCTCTGAAAAGGGGACGATCGCCTAAACAGTTTTAACCCCTTATTTGCAAAACGGTCCGTTACATAACATTAAGCAAATAAAAGAGGCAAAAAAAAAAAAAAACACCTTCTACACAAATAGCAAGAAAGATTGCAGAAACAGAAAAATATTCAGCTAATGAATAAAGCAACCAAATCGTTAGAAGCACCACAAGCCAAGTGGTATCTAAAGAGTAACAAGCCAGAAACATTAAAGTCTAATAAATTTTTAAAAAGAGAAACATAAAAGAGTAATATCTAAAAGAAAAGAAAAAGAAACCTATCTAATGACCCCAGAAAAAATAAGTAGAGCATTTCAAAATTATTTACCAGAATCTATATAACCTACCAAAATAAATATATGTGGAGAAATTCCTCTAATCTCTAAAGGATTTACTCACTTTGCTTTTTATATTAATGTTTCCAGGGTTCATGCCCAGAGTGACAGGGTGCCACTCATACTGCCCACCCCTGTTGCGATATCTTCACCCAGGGGGTAATAGACTATTTTCTTTGTTGCTTGAATTTACCACTATTTTCAACTATATAATGAAGACAGGAAGCTGTCCTGGAGAGCTGTTGAGAGCGAATATTGTCCCTATCCCAAAAGCAGATAAAGATTTAGAACTGATTGGCAATTATAGACCTATATCATTAATACAGATATTAAAATATTACCTTCCATCCCTGCTGATCGATTAAAAATAGTCATACCACAATTAATAAAAATTACCAAGTAGAATTCATACCAGGGAGGTCGTCAATCAACAATCCTAAAAAAAATAATAAACATATTAGAAGAAACAAGAGAATGGAACCCCTCTAATGCTACTGTCAATAGACACAGAGAAAGCTTTTGACAGGGTTGGATGGGGTTTCATGTTTGCCACTTTAAAACAATTTGGAATCACTGGATCAATATTACAAGCTACATCTGCTCTCTACAGCTCTCCATCAGCTAAAGTAACAGGGTCTGGATTCACATCACAAAGATTCAGCGTTAAAAAAAAAATGGGACTAGACAAGGGTGCCCTCTTTCTCCTTTATTGTACAAAATGGTGTTAAAACCCCTTGCGATTCTAAGACAAAATAAAAAAATTAAAGGATTTATGAACTCCCTAGGACAAAGTAAATTAAATATTTATGCAGATGACATCTTACTAACTTTAGAAGAACCAAAAACCTCAGTCCCAGAGATTCTGAAGGAGAAACAAATACACCAAAGTGTCAGGATATAAAATGAATATAGAGAAATCAATATTGTAACAAACCACCTCTTTTATAGGTAGGATTGTCACAGATCTTGCAGTAACCACAGCCTTCTAGGGTATACAAAGTCCAGGACACATTCAGATCAGTTTTCCTTTTTATTCAATAAGAAAATAGGTGCTTTAAATAATAAAACAAACAAAATCCCTTGCTCTTACTTGAGCTTTTTACTAGACAGGAATTGCTATCTGCAATTGGGTGGCTTTCCCACTTACCAATTTTCCAAACAAAAGAAATGTCTTTGCAATAAACACAATTGTCATTCACTCTCCTAGCTGTCTTTTCCTCCCTCACTCTCCAGCAGGCTGCCCTCTTCTTTTAAAGGCCTGTCTACTAATTAACTAGCTACAGGTGAGTGCCAATTAGTTAACTCTTAAGTCAGATCTAAATTGTGGTCTGTTACACAGCAACTAGTGCTGTTGGAGCATTGGCCCACCCTGCTCTCCAAATACTCCGCCCCAGGGACCCATACCATGTTTTGCAGAACCTCAGCAATGTAGATTGCAAACTCTAACATCTCTCCCTGGGGCATTTAACTGGAAATTCTCAGGTTGCTGTTTAGCAAATCAGGCCTGATGTATCTTCCATCAACCACAATTCCACTTTTACGCTCACAATATTTATAGCTAAAAACTTGAATAAAGGGCTAGTTAATTTTCTTGTACAAAACCTTGGGCTCAAGGACAGGCTAAACTATTTAGGTATAACATTAACCTCGGATTTAAAAGACCTAGTAGAAGCCAATTTTTTTACCCTTATTAACACAAACTAATAAAGACTTAAGGTATGGGATTTTCTTGGTCGGGAAGGATCAATATCCTAAAAGCATAAATCTTACCAAAATGGCTGTATCTATGGAGAATGATCCCACTTAATTTTCCAGAAAACTGGTTATCTTTACTACACTCATCCTTTTTTAAATTTGTATGGGGCGGCAAGAAAGCAAGAGTTAAAATAAAAGTTTTGGCTACATCAAGGCAGGATGGAGGTTTGGGGTGCTTGGAAATTTTACAATGCTATCAAGCTAGCAGACTTTTCCATATATTGCTTTCACAAAATATTGCTGCAATCCAAGAAACATGGTATAAAATGGAAAAAGCTAAAACCAGGGTAGGAAATTTAACGTAAACAAAAAATCCATCAAAGTGGCATGAACCAAATCTCAGACGCTCAAAGAGTTAACGAGTTGGTGGGACAAATTTGCAAACCACATAGGTCTCAGAAATAGAATAATAGATCTGCTCCCTTTTTCTAGTATCTCAGATATGTTAGACAACATAAAAATAGACACTTGGAAGACGGGGGGATAAGGGAATTTAAAAATATACTGGTGGAACACAAAATTAAAACCTTCAATCAAATTATGGAGGAATTCAACATTCTCCAGAAAGACACACTTAACTTTCTGAGAACTAAGAGCTTTTTAGCAGAATATCACCTTCAAAATGAGGGGGAGAAAATTAAAATCCTCAAACATCTACTCAAACTAAAGAACTATAAAAACGTAATGGCAAAATACACTATAGCTATATACAGGTGATACTCGAAAAATCTAAATATCGTGCAAAAGTTCATTTATTTCAGTAATGTAACGTAAAAGGGGAAACTGATATATGAGATAGATGCATTACATGCAAAGCAAAATAGTTCAAGCCGTGATTTGTCATAAGTGCGATGATTATGGCTTACAGCTCATGAAAACCCCAAATCCACAATCTCAGTAAATTAGAATACTGTGGAAAGGTGCAATATTCTAGGCTTACAGTGTCCCACTCTAATCAGCTAAGTAAGCCATAACACATGCAAAGGGTTTCTGAGCCTTTAAATGGTCTCTCAGTCTGGTTCAGTAGGAATCACAATCATGGGGAAGACTGCTGACCTGACAGTTGTGCAGAAAATCATTGACACCCTCCATAAGGAGGGAAAGCCTCAAAAAGGTAATTGCGAAGGAAGTTGGATGTATCCAAAGTGCTGTATCAAAGCACATTAATAGAAAGTTATGTGGAAGGGAAAAGTGTGGAAGAAAAAGGTGCACAAGCAGCAGGGATGACCGCAGCCTGGAAATGATTGTCAGCAAAAGGCCATTCAAAAGTGTTGGGGACTTTCACAAGGAGTGGACTGAGGCTGGAGTCAGTGCACCAAGAGCCACCACACACAGACGGATCCTGGACATGGGCTTCAGATGTCGTATTCCTCTTGTCAAGCCACTCCTGAACAACAAACAATGTCATCAGCGTCTTACCTGGACTAAAGAAAAACAGACCTGGTCTGTTGCTCAGTGGTCCAAAGTCCTCTTTTCTCATGAGAGCAACGTTTGCATCTCATTTGGAAACCAAGGACCCAGAGTCTGGAGGAAGAATGGAGAGGCACACACTGCAATATGCTTTAAGTCCAGTGTGAAGTTTCCACAGTCTGTCGATTTGGGGAGCCATGTCATCTGCTGGTGTTGGTCCACTGTGCTTCATTAAGTCCAGTTTCAACGCAGCCGTCTACCAGGAGATTGTGGAGCACTTCATGCTTCCTTCCGCAGACAAGCTTTATGGGGATGCTGACTTCATTTTCCAGCAGGACTTGGAACCTGCCCACACTGCCAAAAGCACCAAAGCCTGGTTTAATGACTGTGGGATTACTGTGCTTGATTGGCCAGCAAACTCGCCTGACCTGAACCCCACAGAGAATCTATGGGGCATTGGCAAGAGAAAGATGAGAGACATGAGACCGAACAATGCAGAAGAGCTTAAGGCCGCTATTAAAGCATCCTGGTCTTCCATAACACCTCAGCAATGCCACAGGCTGATAGCTTCCATGCCACGCCGCATTGAGGCAGTATTTGCTGCAAAAGGGGCCCAAACCAAGTACTGAGTCCATATGCATGCTTATATTTTTCAGAGGTCTGATATTGTTCTATGTACATTCCTTGTTTTATTGATTGCATGTAATATTCTAATTTACTGAGATTGTGGATTTGGGGTTTTCATGAGCTGTAAGCTATAATCATCGCACTTATGACAAATTATGGCTTGAACTATCTTGCTTTGCATGTAATGTGTCTCTCTCATATATTAGTTTCCCCATTTTATATTGCATTACTGAAATAAATGAACTTTTGCACGATATTCACATTTTTCGAGTATCACCTGTATAGATGGAGACACGATAAACACATAAAACGTATCAATAAATAAGAAAAAGAACTACAAGTACATTGAGAAGAAGAAGAGTGGATAAGCTTTCTAAATAAATTAAATAAATATGTACACTGCTTAAATCTTACGGAAACCCAATTGAAATTATCAAGCAGATAGTACTTAACGCCTAAACATTTAAAGAAAATTTTACCAGAGTCATCAGATAGATGCTGGAAATGTAATATTAATGAAGGCAATTTAATCCACAATTGGTGGCAGTGCACACCTATAAATAAAGTCTGGAAATACATAATCAAGGTAATATATCAAATAACGGAAATAAAATTTGTTTTAAGCCAGAAGTAGTTCTGTTAAACTTGCACTGCACAAAAACGACAAAAAAAATATTGATGATAATTTTACATATAATTACAGCAGCAAACTACTTCTGGCACAAAACTGGAAAACAGGGATAATCCCACACACTCAATAATATAAAAAGGTTATATGGCAAGCAAGAATTGAAAGGGGTATCCTAGTGAACTTGGAAATAGATATACCCAAAAAGAAAACTGGGATACATGGATATGCAAAATGGAAATGATAACCTAATAAAAACTATCATGATTACTTTCCTCCCCCCGAATCACATAATTATCAAATCAGGCATAGCTAAGGTCCAGACTAAGCAAGTATGGGGCCAAAAAAAGAGGAGGGGAGGAAAAAGAAAGTGAAGGTAAAGATCTCAACCCCTAAACAGGCAGACAAAACAGAATAAGAAAACCACACTGGGCACAAGTGGCCCTCTCTCTCTCCAAAAGAAAATGGGCAAAGAAAATTTATAAATAAAAATACACAATAAAATCAAACAAGGGATGGGGGGGGGAGAAACGGGGACTCGGTGGGGGGGTCACAGGGAGCTCAATAGGATAGCAAAAGATATTTATGATGACAACAGTACCAAGGCCTATAATATAGAAATTTTAGCAAATGATACAGGCAGGTACACGTCTGAAATATAAATAGAAAAAAAACAGCAAATAGTTGGAGGGTAAGTCCGGGTTTGACAAACCTCTTCGTAGTGCTGCTACCTCGCTCCTAAAACTGCTGTATTTTTTACAAGGAACACCAGATGTACAGCATGGTTCCCTCTTGCTCGCCACATGTCTAACACAAGGGCGAACAGATATATTTTGTTGAGTCAAGAGGAAGTACCATTGTTATAATAGCTTTTGATGAGCCTTCACATGGTGGTAACATTTTGTTACCCCTTTAAAAGCACTGAGTGACTGTTCCCACTCTGAGAAGTGTATACCTCACGCCTTCTCCCCCCATTTCTTTTGAAAAGCATATACTTGATTGTAGTATCCATATCCCAAACATCCATGGTTTTGTTTCCCCTTTTAACCACCCTCGTTTTGTTTGGTATATTATCCTGAGAAATGCTGAACTGCTGTTTTTGCAATGTGAGAGATTGCTTAAAAGGAACAACCTAAGCCAACCAGCCGGCCTGCCCTCCCTGCCCAATCCTTTCATTTTCTAGGATTTCAGATGATGTATGGACAGGGTGCGCTGTGCTCAGACAGCACCAGGGATCTCCAAGTAACATAACTTGGTTTCAATTAAGTTGTTATGGTACCCAAACTTTCCATTCAAGCGTTCTAGCAGCATAGGAATAACACCTCAAAGACAACACGAACATGTGATGTCTTCGAAGACATGGGTGTGGGAGCTACACTCCTCAACCAGGCCCTCCAGCCTCAATGGGCTGGTAATCATAAAATACAATGAAATAACAAACTACCGACAGCCCTTATTTAAAACACACCCCGCTAAGATCTTTAAGAGGGAGACAAGCATACACCGCTCAGCTAGCGATAAATAAAGCTTTGTCAACTCCCTCCACCAGCTCAGAGCACAACATGGCGGTAGCTCGCCCAACCCAGAGCGCTCTGGATTTCATAGCGCGGACTTTGCTGGGCGTGGACTGATGACGTCAGGGCGGTATGTGAGAGCGAGGCTTGGAACGCATTGAAATCCAGTGAGCGGTCCGCGTGAATGGTTTGACACGAGAAGAGGAAAGCGGTGACCGGTGGGAGGAGGACAGGACAGTGAGGTGAGAGAGAGAGAGAGCGGAGATAGAGAGAGATAGATAGATAGATAGATATATAGATGGCGGCAATCAGCGTGTGTTTAGTTAAACAGACCGCCTTAGCAGACAGTGTGCTGTATATATCGGTGCAGACAAGCCGTCAGCTGGTGTAACACACAGATAATGAATGGATATCAGAGCCACACTGAGACCAGGCTTCCATTTATACCGTGTGAGGGCCCTGCCTGATAGCATGCCTGGGGTAGGGTAATGGGCTCTCACTAAGGCTACTAAACTAATGTAACTATTGCAGCTGTCCCTGGCTTAACCATAATGTGGCTCCATGTAATTAGACCAAATATAGCAAAAGTCAATTGTTACACAGTGTGTTTGTGTTTTGTCTTTCTAAGTTACATTTGCAGTGATTTTTCGGTATAGTAACTTATACGGTGGAAGCCCCAATGTTTTGTTTTAAATATTTGGTGACTTGTAAACTTTTTCTTTACTTTTTGGGGCGCCACTCTAAACTGTGGATTTTTCCGGATCCTGTATTCTTTTCCTCGCATACAAATATAACTTATTGATACTTTGTAAAAAGTGGTGCCCTGCAATATGTAACCTATTTGTTTTTAAGAATTATTATTGGCATGAGTATAGCGCCAACTTATTCCGCTGCACTTTCCAATATTATGAATGGTGGAACTTTAACAATAAATGAGACCATTGCAAAATGTTATAGGAACAACAGGTTGATGAGGAGCGAGATTACAATCTAGAGGAGGTATGGTATAAAAACGCAACAAAAACTGCATTGAAAGGGATAGCAACTATGAAGCAGAACTAGAGATGACAGTGGAGTGTGGCCTTTTCAGAGAAATAGGTTTGTGAAATAGAAGTTACCCTGGGAGACCATGAGCATCTTTCAAGAGCTTGGTTTTGAGGGACTTCTTAAATTATTGAAGAATAGGGGGGAATCTGATGGAGGTAGGCAGACTGTTCCAAAGGAAAACAGCTGTCTGCCAGAAGACTTACATGCAGATTTAGCATTAAAGTTGCAGCAGCGGACAAGAGAAGGTCACCAGCAGAGCGGAAAAACCAGGAAGAAGTATACCTACGAATTAGTGAAGAAATGTAACCAGATCTAGAGCTGTTGAGAGCTTTATAGCAAAGGATTAGTGTTTTGAATTGACTCCTGAAGGGTGCAGGAAGCCAATATAAGGCTTGACTGGGGGGAAGGTGGGGTGTGAGAGAAGAATCAGCCTGGTGGCAAAATTCATTACAGACTGTAGTAAAGCAATACCGTTTCTGGGGAGATCAATTAGGAGAGAATTACAGTAATCAATCTTTGTGTAAGGAAAAGGTGGAATCGGCAAAATGTGGCAACAGACTTTAAATGTGAGACCGATCTTGCAAGGACAGGCTGATGCAGGTACCATCAACTTGTAGGGAGAGTGAAAGATGAGGAATAGTATTATAAGGAGGAAAAATAAGATGCTCCATTTTAGAAGGATTTCATAAAACGGGAGGACATCCAATCAGAGATGGAAGAAAGGCAAGTGGTGACAGGTTATAGGAGAGTGGGAGAGAGATCAGGGTAGGAGAGCTATATCTATCTGGGGGTGTCATCAACATACTGATTGTAGCAGACTCCAATGGAGTTAGTAAGAGGCAGTGTAAAGCAAAAACAAAAAGGGACCAATAACAGATTTTTGGTGGACAGAGACGGGACAAGTGGAGGAGGTATCATTGGAAAAGGAGACTCTGAATGAACTTTGGGAGATGAAGAACAAGAACCAAGAGTTAGTGTTAGAGACCGCGGGATTGAGAGTTTGAAGGAGGACATGATCAACAGTGTCAAAGGCAGCAGAGAGGTCAAGAAGAATTTGTATAGAGAAGTGACCTTTGCATTTAGCCTTGATTAGATTATTCGTTCCATTTAATCAGAGCAGTCTCAGTAAAGGGGCGGAAGACTGATTGAAGAGGGTACAAGAGAGAGTTGGAATTGAGACAGCAAGTCAGGTAAGTAAAGACAAGTAGTTCCAGAAGTTTTGAGGAATAATGGAGCAGGGATATTGGACAATAGTTGGAAAGAGATGACTTTTTAATGACTGGTACAACAGTAGCACGTTTAGGGGGAGCGGGGACAATGCCAGATGAAAGATGGCAGTTGAAGGTATGTGTTAAGGATGGCACAAGAAGGATGAGAGATCTGTTGAGGTGAGAGGACAAGAAGCACAGCCGCTTCTGGTTCAGTAGTTTGGAAGAAGGGTAGGAAAGGCATGGTACAAGAATCACGATAATTAGTTAACCAACCCAAAATACATTGCTTTGACTAGTTAGAGGGACACTAGACACCAGAATTACTTCAGTTCCTTTCAACTGGGTATAGTTTTGAACAGCTTAAAGAAATATCGGAATCACCAGGACAGTTACAGCCTGTTGTAGTGACCATGGTGCCAGGAATGTCTAGTATCCTCCAATTCTAATAGTCAAACTGTTTGCAAGAAGTTTGACAACTTTCCTTGAATCTTCCATGTACCCGCTGCCTTGTGTGTAGATGTAAACTTCTACAGGGAGCTTCTATTGGCTCTACTGAGCTTAAGGTCTGTGTTGTGTAACACCGGCTCTTTGCAGAGAACTTCAGCTGAGTGCTCTCTGCCAGTGAAAGCCTCCATGTACACCTGGACTAAGCTCTGTGCAAAGCTTCCCGTTTGGGCGCACACTAAGTAAGTTGTCAAAATGTTTGCAAAAAGTTTGACATTTTACATGAGAGGTACCTGTGTAATGGTACTTTTAAGAAGTCATTTAAAATATTTTATCTTAGTAATTTAAAAAAAAATAAAAAATTCTGGTAGGTATTTATACATTGATAATGTCACTTTACATTTTTCCTTGTTGTGAGAGAAGTATTAAGACATGGTTATTTGCCAAAGTGTGAGTATTTGGAGTTTATGCCAAATGAGGAGAACTGAAAGCATGGTGATTTTGCACATTTTTAGTTTTAGCTATTGTAACCTAAATGTTGACAATGGCTAATTCACACTAGTAAGTAACCCTTAATGAAACGTTCTTAACCTGATGCTCTCCTACTTCAATATCACCATGTTCTTCTTCACTTGTTTCTTCAGCTTCTGATGACTTTAGCTTTTGGTTTCTGGCACATACCATATCATTTGTATATTTTCATACAGAGACTCAAATCACCGGTTTAACAGAACTTTTCACAAGGTCCATCATGGATTTAGGCACAATAACATGCCTCCTCTCATAAGCCATCGCAATGGATTTCTGTTGGGGAAATTCAAATTCAAGACCAATGCTCATCCTTTGCCATTTTTGCTAGTACTTCCTTTCATGTATATCGTGTTTTACTAGGTGTTTTTGTTTTTTTTCTTTAAAGGAGCACTCAACATTTTAAAATGTGTGCTAAAATTACTGTCCTCCTAAAAAAAAAATATATATATATATAACTTTTATTTTAAAACGGGTGATCTTAAGCAGTAACTATTTACCAGACTTGTGCTGGGCAAATAAAAATAGTTCATTCAAAAAAAATTGTGGTCCGGACAAATAGTTTCAACCATGCAGCTTTTTGGTTTGAACAAACTTCATCAGAGATAATTTCCGGTGAAAATATTTGGACGAACCAAAAATGCTCTTATTGGTGTACTGAAGTGCAAAAATGGCTAATATAATATTATGTGTGTGTATGTTATATATATATATATATATATATATATATATATATATATATATATATATATATATATATATATATATATATATATATATATATATATATATAATGTGTAAAAAACAGATAAAATTCTTATCTTGTAATACCTTTTTTATTGGACTAACAGAATTTTTTAATGACAAGCTTTCGGGAGAACCTCCCTTTCTCAAGTCTGAAGCATTTCTGAGCAAAACGACACATTGAATTCAAAATTAGTTTTTGCTTGAAAAAAAATTGTCCCATATAAAAATAAAAATACATTACAAATATATTTACATCATCTTTGGACTATCACGGCTACAATCTCTACTTGAGCACTATATATATATATATATATATATATATATATATATATATATATATATATATATATATATATATATATATATATATATATATATATATATATATTACACAGTTTAAACGGTTTTCTTACAGCTCCTTTTTTTTTTTTTTTTTTTTGTCACTTTGTTCATTACTTGTTTTTGTAATATGTCGATATAGCGTTTCAGAATTGCAGAATTCTGATGAATCTCAATTCATTTGAATGCACAAGTACAATTACTAACCAACCGCTGTTTATTTTTTGGATCTTGTGTCATTTCATCATTTATTTATTTTATTTTTTTGTTTGTGTTTGTTAGAAATGTCAGACTTGCAAAGTCAAAACACTTTCTTCATCGACACAACCATTAAGAAGAGGAAAGAAGCCAATGAGAAGAAAGTAATTTTGGCATGGGCTCTCCTGAATGCATCATTAGCAGGGATGCTTTACTCAGAAATGTGAGTCCAATGTTAAATATAAATATATTTTTTAAAACCGATTTTTAAAGAAGTAGCATGACATAGATCTTTCAAGAATATTCCTAATTACTGTATGTTTGATTTATCATAGGTCCGGTAAAATGATTAGTTCATACTTCAGTGTTTCAGACTGGCCGCTGTGGTACATTGGTAAGTCAGATTTCCTGGTTTTTGTCATCAGCCAAAAATAGGTCAAGCCTTCTAGAACATAATGTGCATCCATTTCAAAATATGGCGATGTAAACGCCTACTTGTTACTTTCTAATTTAATTTGGATTGGTGATCAAAATGTTCAAGAGACTGTTTTATGCTGATTTGCCTCTGTCACTCACATTAATTGTATATGAAAATACTATGGAAACCAAAAAAAGATAATTGGGAAAGGTTTGAAGGGAAACTGTCACTTTTCTTGAGCTCTGCCTTTTTCTTTCATTGGTTAGTCATTCTCCTTGCAGCTAAGCTACTTTGGAGTTAGATTTTAAATTCTTCTTCAATTCTCACTTAAATAAATAACCCAGAGTATGTAGAGTTGGAGAGACAGAATATATATTTAAAGGAAAAAAAAAAATTAAGCCATTGATTTCTCAATACGTTTTAGTCAGGGCACACTACACTAGGAAAAAAAAAAAGAAACCAAAGCATTGTTTAACACAATTAATAGGTGGGTTTTTTTTTTTCCAATATCTTAATCGCTGGTGTAACAAAAAGAGAACATGAAATGGGCAAAAGTTTGTAGAAACTCAGTAGCTTGCCCTCTGGTTAGTCCCCACTCAGGGAGTGCCCTGTAATGCAATTCAAAGATATGCAGTTGTAAGTATACAATTTGTGGTATTTGTCTACTTTATAAGATGCTAAGTGATAAAGGGAATTTGCAAAACCATTTAAGCATGTATTGCATTTTAAAGAAGCAAACTAAAGACCATAACCACTACAGCTCTTTGGTGCAAAAAGTATGTAAAATTGTATAACCGATTAGTCCATCCAACTTTGAATGGCAATGAAAGACTACCTGCACTAGACCACGGCTTGACAACTCTCAGGCCGCCATGTCCTGGCACCTGGATTTGTCAGCCCGTCCCTCTGTTCTCGTGCAAATCTCTGCTCGCCAGGAGAAAGTGAAGGGAACTGTAATTACTTCTCCTGGGGCTAAGGCCACGTAGGGCAATCGCAAGGTGACAGGATAAAGGTTTGACATAACTCGGCTGGGCAGAGCCCACAGCCTGTTTTTCCCATAACCAATGCAATCTGCTGTAATGGTTATGGTGCTTAGAGTGCATTTTAATACCTGTACGAAGACCAGTACTGAAACTTCTTTCTCATCTCCAGAATTAGGTTTTGCATTTGTATTCAGCATGAATGCCTTGTATGATTTTTGCCATTATTTCAAATACACCATGACCTCTCCGAGCCTTGCTATGAGTCCAACCCAGCAAAAGCTACTTGGAGTACCTGACTCGTGTAAGTATGAACAAAATAATGGTAAAATATATGCCACAACCTTTTAAATTCTACTCCTGGTTGTTGCCATTAGAAAATAGTCTAATTGGTGCTTCATAATTTTAATTCAGTTTATTTTTTTTCATTGTATACTGTATTTGAAGTCTGACTAAACTAACACTATAGCGTTAGGAATACAAATGTGTATTACGAATGCTATAGTGCCCTGGTGACCGCATAGATGGCTGGCCCCTAGCTACAGGGAGAAAAAAAAGTGCTGCTGTCCCAACTCCTTGGCTGAAGTCATTGAAATAAATGCAATATTTTTAAGCTGCAGGGTTAATTTGGGATTGGAGAAAGGGTGGGGGGATGAAGTGCTCTGGGGCACCTATAGTGTCCAATTTAATGGTTTTCATGAAGAAACAATGAATTAGCAGTGTGCAGTGATTGCCACGCATCACGCAGTCATCGTAACTGATCTCAGGAGAGGGGAAGCAGTTGCATTACAGGCAAGTTTAATGGTTTATATTTATTATTTTTCCTTCTAATATTTAGGAGTAGCAATCATAATCTACATCAGTAAAGCAATATACTACGTTTTAAAGGAACAATCCATGCATTAACCACTAACATATTTTCTAATACAATCTACATTTTCAGTTGTTTATGAAATCTTGTGATATGTCCTTATGTATGCAGCAGATGTGCCGCTTGTAAGGATATCTATATTTTTATGTATTCCTTTTTATATAGCAGCAGAACGTACACATGGGTTGCAACATCCATGGTAGACCGATAACAACTTATTGGACTTTAATAATGTCCAGTAAGGAATAGAACTCCTTCCCACTTGCAAGTTTATAACTACTGATTCATCTCCTCATACTCCTGCTCAAACAAGTTGATGTCTGAGGGACATAATGGTTAACTATATCCTTGCCAAGCATCAGAATCTTCTGTTTGAGGACTTCTGTGAGCGGAGTTTAGCCTTTTAAGCAGTTTGCTGGAATGCATGTGTATGTGTTATGTATTTGACTGAGAATCACAATGATGCTCTTGTAGTAGTTTGAAGGTATCCGTGTGTGCCAGAATCATGATGACATTTCATAAATGCTTCTGCAAGCCTGTCTGACTGCAGTGTGAGTGTCAGTATAGGAACAACATGTCACTCAGCCCCTCCACATAAGAGGTCTTTTTAGATGAGGAACTGTGTTTGTGGGTTTTTTTTGGCAATAAAGCCTTTTCAGCCAAGGCAAACTTTAGGTGTCAGCAGTGCAAAACCGAAAGAAAAGAGTGACAACGTGAAATAAACAGAATAAATGAACAGTAGGAAAAACATGTAATCCCTAGAAACACAGGGTGTGAGAATTCACAGGGCAACCTCACCACTCCCTACTGCAGTATCCTTAGTCAGGTTTCTCTGAGTCCCCAGCATTCCCTTGGAACAAAAGTAGTCACTCAACTGGGATCTCACTCATGGGTCGTGGGCTGAACAGTCATCTTAGGGCCGATGGTGTACAGGCCTAGGGACTGTAGGAATGTTAAGGGCTCTGCAGCCATAGAGAGCAGGTGGCTTATGTGACCATAAGGGACCAGGACGTTCCTTACTGGTATTCTAGACCTGCTCTCTGTAGTTTAGTGATAGGTGTGGGAGATCTGCACCACTGTAGTGTGGCTGTGGTTAGGTCTTGGTAGAAGGTTAGAGTTTCCTCTTCGAAACTGTATGGCGTCTTGCCTTGAAGAGCTGACATAAGGAGGATTTTTGCATGTGTAGAAGGGCATGGTATGTGGAGCATGTTTGGCTTGCAGCATACCTCATTCAAGGCCTGCGCAGACAGAAGTATTGATGCAACTAAACGACAAAGGTAATGTGGAAGTTCCTCATGAGTAAGAGCGTCAGGGATGCCCCCTTTTTTTTTGTGGTTGCGCCTGTTGTAGTCCTCCATAATGGCCATTTGTGTAGTGACATATTGTGTTGTACCTTGGACATATTGGAGGTATTGGACTGTGTTTTGTAGAGTAGATAGGGCTGCTTGTAGGTCTGAGGTGTCTCCATAGATCTAATTCGGTCTGAGAGCGTTTGAACGTCTAGCTTGACAGCCTCCATATTGGCAGCAAGCAGTTTTTGCAGATCCTGCAGGAGATTATGAATGTCTAGTTAAGTGGCAATGGCAGAGGACTCTGGGATTAGGTGCAAGGTTCTGGAGTTGGCAGACCTCTGTTGATTAGGTGGACTTTCAGTATCAAGTGAAGGTTGTAAAGGTGAAGCCTCTGTCTGTTCCGCGGCAGCCATCTTATGTTGCACCTAGTGTTTGAGTAATGCACCATGATCATTTTAAATTTGGTGACCGGAATAATGGCATCAGTTAGTGCCGGAGCCCACCCATAGGAAAGATATGGACTACTCGCTGTTCAAAGGGCAGGATAAGGCTTGTTTTTAGAGTGGTTTTGTGGGAGCCACAAAATGTGCATCTGCTTCGACTGAACAGCAAGCTCCACCCCTCAGGAGCTAAAATGTTTATATAGTAAAATAACTCTTTATGGTAGGAGAGCCATCTACTACTTTAATACAATTAAGAAAAAGTATTTAAACAGTGCTGTCCATTCTTGCTACTCTGTATAAAAGTGATACACATACTAGATTATAGATTTACAGGCAAAGTATTCAACTTCTTTTTGTTGCATGTATGTCTAGATGTATCTTTTGTTTATTGCACCTGATGTCGTCCTTGAATTGTCACTGTGGAATATGTTGTAAAATAACTCCTCTAATTTATTACAGTTGTACAGGCCTCTCCACCTCGAGATCTTGTGAAAAATGTTCCAATGTCTACGCCATCACCCAGCATGCAAGGCCAGAATGTGTTAAGCTTCAGTCCATCCCGATCACCTAGTGCCAACCCAAAGTTTTCTAATAGCTGCATTAGTGGGTACAGTCCTCCAATACAGACCATGTTGCCTAGTAGTGGTGGTTCGTTTTCATCTGCTTTGCCTTATTCATCAAATAGCAGCTTCTCCAAAGTAAGTGTACCTTAAAACTTGATTTAAGCATAAAATGCATATCACTGTTGAACTTCTGTCTGCATGCTCTAGCCTTAAACATGGCTGTTATATCAGTCTCAGAAAAACATTTCCTTGTGCTCCTGTTATACAAAGCAAATATAACTTTTATATTTTTAGTAGTTCTTTAAAAAAATTCACTTACTGAAGTAGAAACTTAATTTGATTATACTTGTTTTGGTTTGTTTTTCAGCATAGTGTTATATATTGATTAATTTAGTATTAAAGGAAGACTCTACCCAAGTAGTCTTGCATTTTTGCAAAGAATACCTTGCACCAATAATATGCATTTGCGTGGCTCATAACTGCAACAGAAAGTAAGTCACTGGAGTTATAAACTCTCAATTCTGACCTACCTGCGTTAAACTTTGTCCTGGTCGTACTTGTAGTGTGTGCAGGTTGTGCACAACCTCCAACAGAACCATTAACTGTAGAAGCAGTGTTCTCTCTTATAAGACATACGTTTATGAAAAACCCCCATTTACCAGAATGAGTCTCCCAATGGGTTGGAAGAAAGGTTAGGTAGAAAAACCTGAAATGGTCAGATTTCTTAGATAGGAATTCTGTATATAGAATCCTGTTAAAGAAATGTCTCTGCCAATTATGTATGCTTAAATATTTATAAGATTTTTTTTTATTATTTGTGGTCTTTGCTATTAGATGCAGAGTTACAGCCCTGCTCCAGGCTCACCGCAATATGCAAGCAATCTTGGCCTTGCAGAAAGCAGTGGATTGAGGTCTCGATATCGTTCTTCACCATGTGCCTATAGTTCACCAAAAGACAAGGAGGATTATATGACAGATCTGAAGCTGTTGGAAACATTTCTTAGATCTGAAGAGGAGAAACTGCAACGCTCTCAAATTGGTATTACACTAGACTTAAGATGACATTACAGCTATCTGTGCTTTACTGAGCAAATTTGTTCCATACCTCAAGTCCATTTACGTTAATGTGACAATCCAGTTGCCTTCATTTTAGGTAACATTTGTCGGTTAGTGTCATTTATACTAGGTTGTTTTATTAGTAGACATTAGTTTGCTCATAAACTCATTAATTCTGCTCTTGCTTCCCAACCTCCAATCTTTCCTATTTTGCTCCAGAAATATTGCTGTAAGTGTAGAGATGTCTGTTAGATTTCTACAGGAGAAAGCAGATATTTGCGCTTTGGCTCCCAGAACCACTTGCCATCGACCACAAAGCACGGCTTGGCGGAGAAGATTAACGATTCATAGAAACATATTATGTTATTTATATAGTGCCAACAAATTCTGCAGCGCTTTACAGTGGGTGGAGTAACAAACATGTAGTTGTAACCAGACAAGTTGGATACACAGGAACAGAGGGGTTGAGGGCCCTGCTCAATGAGCTTGCATGCTAGAGGGAGTGGGGTAAAGTGACACAAAAGGTAAAGATAGTATTAGACTAATGACAGTTGCAAGAGAGGAATCAGTCGGGAGCTATTAACAGTTTAATTGATACGCTTTTATGAAGAAGCAGGTTTTTAATGTTTTTTTTTTGGAGAGGAGACGGGTGAGCATCTAACAGAGGAACGGTGCAGCCCTCGTGAAGTCTTGAAGGGGAGCATCAGAGGTGGGAGTACAGAGAGAAGATAGACGTAAGTCTTCAGCAGAGCGTAAGGGCCTAGACGGGACATACTTGTTTATTAGGGAGGATAGATAGGTGGGAGATGTAGAGATTTGAAAGCAAGAACCAGAAATTTTTAATTGAGTCCTATATCTTACAGGAAGCCAACGTAGGGACTGACAGAAGGGTGAGGCATGGGAGGTGCGGGTTGACAGGAAGATGAGCCTCACCGCTGCATTCATTATGGACTGTAACGGCGCAAGTTGGGAGCACGTAAGACCACTGAAAAGCGGGTTACAGTAGTCAAGGCGAGAAAGGATAGTGGAATGGACCAGGACCTTAAGTAGGGCGTTAAGTAGGGTCAGATGCGTGCAATGTTTTTGAGATGGAAGCCGCATGACTTGGCGATAGACTGAATATGAGGCGTGAAGGAGTGGTCGGAGTCAGAGAACACCTAGGCAATGGACCTGCATGGTGGAGCTGATGGTAGCACAGTTGACTTGGAGGGAGACAGACACAGTAGTAACACTTGTGGGAGGAAAAAACAGAATTTCAGTTTTGGTCAAATTTAGTTTAAGGAAATGGGCAGCCATCCAGTTAGAAATAGCAGAGAGGTAGTCAGAGACACTACTCAAGATGGGCGTGGAGAGATCAGGAGAGGACAGGTTTGCGTGTCATCCACATAGAAATGATATTGGAAGCCAAAGGAGCTAATGAGTTTACCAAGGGAGGCAGTGTAGATGGAGAACAGTAGGGGACCAAGGACTGAACCTTGGGGGACACCAACAGAGAGGAGTTGGGGAGAAGAGGCAGAGCTAGAGAAAGAAACACTGAAAGAGCACTGGGAGAGGTAGGAGGAGCACCAGGAGAGAGCAACATCTTGTAGACCGATATTGTGGAGGATGAGAAAAGGCTGTTGATGATAAACCGTGTCAAAAGCCGCAGAAATGTCAAGGAGAATCAGGATAGAGTAGTGACCACGAGATTTTGCAGTGAGTAGATCATTGGATACTTTGGTCAGTGCTTTTTCCAGAGTGCTTAGCACGGAAACCAGACTGAAGCGGGTCTAGCAGAGAGTTGGACTTGAGGAAGTCTGTCAATCTCACGTACACAACTCTTTTTTTTTTTTTCCAAGGATCTTGGATGCAAAAAGTAGTATCGAGATAGGACGGTAGTTGGATAGGGAGTTGGGGTCAAGGTTGGGGTTACACTTGCATATTTGAAGGGTGATGGAAATCTGCCAGAGGGGAGAGAGCGAGAATTTTAGTAAGAGGTAGAGAAAGCGAAGAAGACAGAGTACGGATGAGATGTGAGGGAATTCGATCTAGGGAGCAGGTGGTGGGGCGGGAGGACTTGAGCAGAGCAGAAACCTCTTCCGCTGTAACAGGTGCGAATGAACATAGAACAGCAGAGGGAGTGAGGTTAGGGGAAAAAGAAAGAGAGATCGCTTCCCTAATTGTAGAGATCTTTTCCGTGAAGTGAGTTGCAAAGTCTGAGGTCAAGTTAGTAGGTGGAGGAGGAACAATAGGGCGTAGAAGAGAGAAATGTGTGAAATCGTAATTTGAGTTTGCGGGAGGATGTGTGGTTGAGAGTATGGAAGTAACTTACTTTTGCAGAGGAAAGAGCCAAGCTGTATGAGTGCAGCATAAATTTATAGTGGAGAAAGTCAGACACACAGTGAGACTTTCACCAACAGCGTTCAGCAGTTCTGGAGCATTTTTGGAGGTATTGAGTCAGCTTGGTGTGCCAAGGTTGTTGTTTGGGGCTCGTGCTGCATTTAGATTTAGGAGGTGCCATGATGTCTAGTAGAAAGGAGAGGGTGGAATCGTAGGAGGTTGCAGAGCTAGGACAGGGGAGGTTTGAGATAGGTAAGAGATGGGAGATTAGTGGAGAAATGCTCTAGGTCAAGACATTGGAGGTTTCTGTGAGACTGTTGTTCAGATGATGGTGTCAATTGGGCCTTGGGTATGCCGATGTCAAAAGTCAGCAGATGGTGGTCAGATAGAGGAAAAGGAATATTTGAGAGATTAGAGGCAGTACAGTATATTATGAACCTTAGGCTTATACTAAAGTGACAATTGCTGTATTTCAAATATGAAGTCAAAGTAGCCAAACTGGAAGCATAGGCGACTGGGAGAGTTTTTCCATTTCAGCTGGTTTGGTCTTGAATTTAAAATCCCAACAATTCTCTATTTAGTAAATAACTCTAACAAATATTCTGTGCTGTAGATTCAAGCCCTATCTCTTTTTAAAATTCTAAAAAAAAAAAAAACTAACATTTTGTATACGGCTGTGGGTTTAGTTTTTAATTTTGCATACTTAATACATTATATCTTCCATCATAATATTTTAAATCTTCCCCCATAATAGGGATAGAGCAACACAATATATTATTTTTTATTTTTTTTATTTTATTTTTTTTAAATGTGTTAATGAGAGCAGGCAAGGTGCCCTAAGAATACATTGGAAACTTATTTTGACGCAGTAGTGTTAAAATCGTGAGAAATAGTACCTTAGAATGGCTTGAAACACCCATTTTAGGTTCAAGCATGGTTAAATCCCTTCTGGTATTGGGAAGATATCAATTCCTGGAGGGGGGGGGGTGGTGGTGGTGATCATCATTTATATAGTGTTTTGAGGGGGGGATGTAACAATAAATAGGACAATTACAAGAAAACTTACAGGAACAATAGGTTGAAGAGGACCCTGCTCAAACAAGCTTACAAACTATAGGAGGTGGGGTATTAGAAACATTAGGACAGGAAATATCAAGTAGGAGTGAAGCAGAGCTGGAGGCGAGAGCAGGAGACAGGTATGTAAGGTTATGAGATTACTCTGGGAGGCCATAAGCTTTCCTGAAGAGATGGGTTTTAAGGCCCTTCTTAAATGATTGAAGACTAGGGGAGAGTCTGATGGCAGTAGGCAAGCTATTCCATAGGAGAGGAGCCGCCCGCGAGAGGTCCTGCAAGAGCGAGTTGGCCGTACGGGTGCGAGCAGGAGGCAGAGCGGAGGGTACAAGGAGGGGCATATCTACTTAGTCATCTGGGACCATTGAAATCATTGTGGCTAAGGGTGAGGACTACCCACAGGTCTGGGCATACTGTCCAGCTCTGATTACTGTGTGGCCTGCAGGGACTTCCTAAATCTGCTGTGAATGGGAAATCCGAAATAGCTAGATAGAATTTTCCTCGAACACTGCTGAAATCCGCAAAAAGTGACATTGGTCAGTATGGTGGCATGGTGTCGATCATAAAATAGCATCTCTGGGGCGTAGAGGGGCATATTAAAATGAGGGCATTTTGTTTTCTTTTGAACAAACATACATGGTCTATAAAACCTGCTATGAAAATAATTTCATTTGAAAAACCTTAATTATAATAATAATAAGCACATTTCGCTTAAAGGACCACTATAGTGCCAGGAAAACATACTCGGTTTCCTGGCACTATAGTGCCCTGAGGGTGCCCCCACCTTCAGGGACCCCCTCCCGCCCAGCTCTGGAAAGGGGTTAAAACTTACCTTTTTCCAGCGCTGGGCGGGGAGCTCTCCTCCTCCGATCCTCCTCTTCTCCTCCCCGCCGGCTGAATGCGCACGCGCGGCAAGAGCATTCATAATGCTTTCCTATGGACTCTGGCGTGCTCTCACTGTGAAAATCACAGTGAGAAGCACGCAAGCGCCTCTAGTGGCTGTCAATGAGACAGCCACTAGAGGAAATAGGGGAAGGCTTAGCCCATTCACAAACATAGCAGTTTCTCTGAAACTGCTATGTTTATGAAAAAATGGGTTAACCCTAGCTGGACCTGGCACCCAGACCACTTCATTAAGCTGAAGTGGTCTGGGTGCCTAGAGTGGTCCTTTAAATTATTAATAGAATGGTTAAATGTCAAATTTGGAAATGGCTTTTTGTTGAATACCATGACCTCGAATAGTGGTCCTATAACTGCCAATAATTAAAATTCTAGATATGAGGCCTTTTATTATTGTGATTAAGTGAATGTACATTAAGGATTTTGTTTTTTACTTGCACTTTTGTTAAAAAAAAAAAAAATATATATATATATATATATATATATTATAATTTTTTTTTTTTTTTTTTTTTTTTTTTTTTTTTTTTTTTTTTCATTCAGCAGCAGCAGCTCTGGGAGGCTATTCTGATATCTTGCAAACAAATTCAAGCAGAAACTGTCCAAAAACTCACAAGTTCAATGGATGATATTTTTCCCATTTACCTAAATAATTGATCAACTATTAAAAGTACAATTCAAATTTTATTGCACAAACCTCCTAATGATAAAAGTATTTTTTTTTTTTTAAACATAAACTTACAATGCACTGTTTCAAATTATGCACAGTAGGTTTCAAAACACTTTATAGGCTGTAAAGAACTGAAAATTGTCATTTGTTGTGTTTGAAATAGCTTTTGATTACAGTAAATATGTTGCAATTAAACTTATAACAACATTTTAACAGGTCAAATTAAATTTTAACATAGGACCCTTTATTTGACAGCAGCTTTACAAGTCTTGCATCCATTGAACTTGTGAGTTTTTGAACAGTTTCTGCTTGAATTTGTTTGCAAGATATCAGAATAGCCTCCCAGAGCTGCTGCTGCTGAATGAATATATAAAAAAATATATATTTTTTCCAAATTATAATTTTATTACAGAAAGCATAGTTCTTCCTTCTGTACCAGGGAAGAAAGTGGTCAGTCAGAAACTCCACATACTTTGCAGAGGTCATCTTTACACCTTCGGGGACCCTAAAGGGGCCGACCAGTTCTCTTCCCATGATTCCGGCCCAAAACATGACTCCACCACCGCTTTGCTGCCGTCACAGCCTTGTTGGAACAGGGTGGCCTTCCACCAACCATCCACTACTCCATCCATCTGGACCATCCAGGGTTGCACGGCATCAGTGAACAGGACTCTTTGAAAATTAGTCTTCATGTATTTTTATGCCCAATGCAGCCGTTTCTGCTTGTGAGCATTGGTTAGTGGTGGCCAAATAGAAGGTTTATGCACAGTTGCAAGACTCTGGAGGACTCTACACCTTGATGTCCGTGGGACTCTAGAGGCACCAGCAGCTTCAAATATCTGTTTGCTGCTATGTAATGGTATTTTAGCAGCTGCTCTCTTGATCCGACGCATGGATCTGGCAGAAATCTTCCTCAATGTGCCCGTCTGGGCTCTGAATCCGCCACAAATCTCTTAATAGTGCGATGATCAGGCTTAAAGGACCACTATAGTGCCAGGAAAACATACTCGTTTTCCTGGCACTATAGTGCCCTCACGGTGCCCCCACCCTCAGGGACCCCCTCCCGCCCGGCTCTGGAAGGGGGAAAGGGGTAATAACTTACCTTTTTCCAGCGCTGGGCGGAGAGCTCTCCTCCTCCTCCGATCCGCCCTGCCGGCTGAATGCGCACGCGCGGCAAGAGCTGCGCGCGCATTCAGCCCGTCACATAGGAAAGCATTTACAATGCTTTCCTATGGACACTTGCGTGCTCTCACTGTGAAAATCACAGTGAGAAGCACGCAAGCGCCTCTAGTGGCTGTCAATGAGAGCCACTAGAGGATTAGGGGGAAGGCTTAACCCATTCATAATTATAGCAGTTTCTCTGAAACTGCTATAATTATGAAAAAATGGGTTAACCCTAGAAGGACCTGGCACCCAGACCACTTCATTAAGCTCAAGTGGTCTGGGTGCCTAGAGTGGTCCTTTTAAGTTTTCGTGAAATATCTAATATTTTCATACCTTGTCCAAGGCATTGAACTATTTCACTCTCTTCGGCAGCAGAGAGATCCTTTTGCTTCCCCATATTGCATGAAAATGGTGCTCTGCTTAATAACGTGGAACACCCTCCTTTAGTGGTTTTTCCTTAAATTGGGCTCACCTGGCAATCTAATTATCACAGGTGTCCGAGATTGTTTTCAGTGATCAAGCCTGAGACACAATGCCATCCATGAGTTAAAGTGAAAAACAAAAAAATTAATCTTTGTGACACTTAAATAGAATTTGCATAATAATTTGGAACAGGGTGTATAATAAGAGTTGGTGTACTTAATGAGAGCAGAATATTAAATAAACACAGCACATATACCAGGTTTTGAAGTTGGGCAATTGCCTTCGTAAACAGAAGTCCCCAAAATGCAAAACCTTTATTTATATGCACCACATTTTATCTATTAATTTTCCCTTCATTAGTGGTTTAATTTGACATACAAAGTTGAAAACGTTTTGTTTGTTTTGTTGTAGGTAGTCCAGATTCCACTTCACCTTCAAACAGTCCAACGTTTTGGAATTACAGTCGTTCTATAGGAGATTATGCCCACACTCTGACAAAGTTCCAGTACCAGCTAGCCTGCCGCTCTCAGGCACCATCTGCACATAAGGATGAAGTAGATCTTAGCTCCAAACAAGCAGCAGAAGAAGTAGGAATAAAGAAATGATTGTTTATTTGCAAAACAAAATATTTCACAATACATTCATTCTCTATTTACTAGAACAATGTGTTTAGTTTTTTGTTTTATATATTTGTATATCTCATCTTAGAAGTATGTTCAGATTTCATTCCATACAATGTTCTTATGAAGTGTCCATGCCATTAAAGTACTACTTCAGACACCCGCAGTAAGATGTCAAACTGTTTTGCAGCATCATTGCATTCTGTCTTCTCCAGCAAGGCAAAGCAACTGCATTCATTGACTTGGGGCACTCTGCTGCATAAAGCAATACGGCTTCCCCTTTTGGAGAAGGCCAGATGCAGTGGATGTGGTAATGGGCACCTGATGGGACTTGTGTAAGTTGTCAAACCTTGCTAAAAAGGTTTGACATTGTACTGTGGGACAGTGCCAGGGCACACTGCTTGAAATAACTCTTGAATGGATGAAAGAACACTTATCCAAATTTGTGTAGAGAAGTTATCTTTTAGTTCATTCCCCCATAATATGATATATGGCAATAGTTAATGCCATACCCACATCATGTAGAGAGCTGGAGGACATAACGCAAATAGAGAGGTTTAGCTATAGAGTAAACATTGGAGTATTCCTTTAAGGCCAAGACTATAATCATTGTTAGGCCGCGTGACCGTGAACTGTCAAATCATGCTTGGCTTTGTCAGACACACCTATTCCTTCCAGTGTGAGATGATGATGTGCTTACAGGAACACTATAGTTTTTGGAATACAAACGGATATTCCGAACCCTATAGTGCTTGAGTAAATATTTAAGTTACCGGCCCCCGTGTTTGTGGAGTTAAGTTGTTTAACTTACATTTTCTCCATTGCAGCAACAGTCTCACTGAAGCAGTCATCACAAATTTAATAATTATCCGTAAGAGGAAATACTTTGTCTTCAACATTTTCATCTTTCTAGATTGTGTGTATGTGTGGTTACAGATTCAATTTTGAATATTTTCTTTTTCTATAACTACAGGTTTGGGCACGAATCTTAATGAATCGGCATCTGTTGGACCATGTGGATTCATGCACTGCAAAATTACGAAATGTAAACTTTTTTGAGAAATGTACACTATATATATTTTTGTACTGTATACCATATATTTATCAGTGCTTCTGGCAATGTTAATGTATTTTGGTTTTGACCTTTTGCACCCAAAAAAAAATATTTTGGAGAATGTTACACCATAAGCTTGCCATCTCTGCCTCACCCCTACACTCAAGAAAGACTTCCTTATCAAATGTATGCACACAGTTTAATCAGAGTGATCTGAACTATGCAGTATCCTGTTGCATTTTTACAAAACTGTAACTGTAATGTTTTACATTGTAAGGGTAAAACTAAAGGGCCACTGCATCCAGACCACTTCACCGAGATGAAAGGCCTCTTGGTGCCTTAGTTAGCTAGTTTTGTTTTTTGTTTCCCTTTCTACCCCTCTCCCCCGTTCTTTGAATAATACCTTATTTGCATTATTCTTTAGGTCACTAAGATGCTCCACAAACTTTGAAATAAGATTTAACTTATTTTAATCGCCTCTTTGTGACATCACAAGAGCCTGGGGGAGGTCCAATCAAAGGCTTCTCATAGATTGAACCATTTAACCGGCTCAGAGCATATGTGTTCACTCTGAGCTGGCAGATGGAGTGGGCAAGAAGAGAAGGCCAGAGGAAGAAAAAATTATTGAATGCAATAGGGAGGGGAGATGCAAGCAGTGAAACACTGCACATCCAGAATCCTACCCCCATGACCACTACAGGGCAGAAGTGGTTATTGTTGTTGGAGTAACCTTTTAAGACTGATTTTCTTATAAACTTTTATCTACCTGCTGTTGTGCAATATCTACCAGTTTGTCAGTAAATGATCTGTGTTTAAATTGGTTGTAACTGAATAGCATATAAAAGGTGAAACATGTTTTAATATGAACATGTTTTATATAAGGGATACCTTCCTGTCGGTTGTCTATGTTGTTCTGTAATCGGAAACAACCTTCAATTACAGAGAACCTCAAGATTAATCAGATTATTCTGGATATGATGATGCAATATTTGCAATGACTATTTAGAAGACTTTCACAAAAAACCATAAATATGGCATGTTGGAAGGAAATGTATAGTGTATCATGTGATGAAACTTAACTTGATTGGTTGCTCTTTACTTTTTCAGTGGATTAATGAAACTATTCTGGTACCACTAGTCAGTGAAATGGATTCTCTGAACATGCAGATGAGAAGACTGGGATGCCCTGAATTACAGATAGGAGGTATGTATAGCTTTGAGATGTTAACACCTACATCTCTTTAACACTAAGCCACCCCTCTTAAGCCAAAACAACTCACTATTACTGGAGAAATTCCTCCAGTTGAAGTTACAGCCAACACCAGCAGAGGGATTTTCACATGTACGTAAGAATTTCTGTAACTTGCATAGTTCATTCAGCACTCTTCAAAATGTAAATGTGTATGTTGATTCATAATCATGTCACAGTATAGCTCTTTGCTACCTAATCCACGACTAACCTCGATCTGATCACTGTATGTAATGTATTATCCGGCTGGACAAAAGGGACCTGCTGGAGACAACCGATTATTGAGGGAATACCTATTGACATCACTGATCATGTCATGCTTTAAAATGGAAGTACAGCATCGCTAATTCACATAACCATATGCATCGTTCCATTTGGGCGCTGGTCTCTGCTATTCAGTATGAAGCTACTAATTATGTACCCAGGTTTCAATACAAATCTATGGATCCCAGGTACCAGTAGGGAAAGGGGCCTCTACTAGTTCAGAAGTCATTTGAATTAATTCTGTTAATATTTCATCTTCTATTATTTTCTTTTGCAGAATCCAGTATTAGCAGTTTGAAGCAAGCGGCTCTCTTAAAAGCCCCCCTTATACCTACCCTCAATGTTATAGTGCAGTATCTGGACATCACTCCAAATCAAGAGTACCTTTTTGAGCGCATTAAAGGTAATTATTATTTTTGTATATAGTGCAAACTGAATAGACAAAAATAAAATACAGTAGGTCGGACCATAATTTACTGGCTCTCTATATTTTGACACTCACAGGTGTTGCAGTAGACTTCTGTGTATTGTCTGAACGCAAAGAGACTTGCATTGAAAAATGTTGATCTATTTATTGTTTTTATAATCATGCTCAATATCAATTGAGTTAACAAAATAGAAGTGTTATACAAAAATAAGATAACCAATAGAAAAATGTTAAACTGGACTATTTGAACTCACTGAATTTGTTGTTTGGTTTACTTACATAGAAACATAGAATGTGACGGCAGATAAGAACCATTTGGCCCATCTAGTCTGCCCAATTTTCTAAATACTTTCATTAGTCCCTAGTCTTATCTTATAGTTAGGATAGCCTTATGCCTATCCCACGCATGCTTAAACTCCTTTACTGTGTTAACCTCTACCACTTCAGCTGGAAGGCTATTCCATGCATCCACTACCCTCTCAGTAAAGTAATACTTCCTGATATTTATTTTTTAAACCTTTGTCCCTCTAATTTAAGACTGACCTCTTGTTGTGGTAGTTTTTCTTCTTTTAAATATAGTCTCCTCCTTTACTGTGTTGATATGTATTTAAATGTTTCTATCATATCCCCCCTGTCTCGTCTTTCCTCCAAGCTATACATGTTAAGATCCTTTAACCTTTCCTGGTAAGTTTTATCCTGCAATCCATGAACCAGTTTAGTAGCCCTTCTCTGAACTATCTCTAAGGTATCAATATCCTTCTGAAGATACGGTCTTCAGTACTGCGTACAATACTCCAAGTGAGGTCTCACCAGTGTTCTGTACAATGGCATGAGTACTTCCCTCTTTACTGCTAATACCTCTCCCTATACAATCAAGCATTCTGCTAGCATTTCCTGCTGCTCTATTACATTGTCTGCCTACCTTTAAGTCATCAGAAATAATCACTCCTAAATCCCTTTCCTCAGATGTTGAGGTTAGGACTCTATCAAATATTCTGTACTCTGCCCTTGGGTTTTTACATCCAAGATGCATTATCTTGCACTTATCCACATTAAATGTCAGTTGCCACAACTCTGGCCATTTTTCTAGTTTACCTAAATCATTTGCCATTTGGTTTATCCCTCCTGGAACATCAACCCTGTTACATATCTTGGTATCCTCAGCAAAAAGACATACCTTACCATCAAGACCTTCTGCAATATCACTAATAAAAATATTAAAGAGAATGGGTCCAAGTACAGATCCCTGAGGTACCCCACTGGTGACAAGCCCAAGCTTCGAATATACTCCATTGACTTCAACCCTCTGTTGCCTGTCACTCAGCCACTGCCTTACCCATTCAACAATATTGGAATCCAAACTTAAAGATTACAGTTTATTGATAAACCTTCTATGCGCAGCAGTGTCAAAAGCCTTACTGAAATCTAGGTAAGCAATGTCTACTGCACCACCCTGATCTATAATTTTAGTTACCCAATCAAAAAATCAATAAGATTAGTTTGGCATAATCTCCCTGAAGTAAACTTTTTATTGCAAAACTTTATTTGACCTCTTCATACTAATTATTCTTCCAGAGCTATCTCAAGGAGGATGCATGAGCTCTTTTCGGTGGAATGCAGGAGGAGATTTCAAAGGTCGCAAATGGGATACTGATCTACCTACGGACTCTGCAGTATGTTTTTTTGTTTGTTTTAACTATTTACGTTCATCTATGACGAAGGAAATAATGAAATAAACACTATATAATATACATAACTTAATACTTTTTAATTATTTGTATTGGTGCAAAATGCACCAGCCCATACAGAAAGACATACAATGGTATATTTTGTATTTTTTTTAATTAAAATTATTCTGTGAAAAAATTAGGTTTGGTCACCCGAAATGACCATATTTTGCTATGCTCACTACAGTGTTTATATACCCCATTCATTTTTGGATTGATACGGATTATCTGGATAGTTATGGTGTACATATATATGTTTCTTCTGAAACTGCACATTTTTAATTACATTTATAGCAGTGCTAAGTGAAAATGTAGCCCTTTTGAGTATAAATTCACCACGATGAGTGTGCCAGATCTGGTAGCAGGGTAAGAAATTTCCTGCTGAGAAAATGTGTCACATTAAGATTTTTCTCCATTATTCTATTTATTTTGTTTCCCCATATCTGCCCGATTGTTTTTAATGCACATATAACTGAAAGACACGTATAAAAAGTAGTGCACTAAAATGGGATGTCTTGCCCTTTAAGAACAGTGATAAACAGGCAGCAGAGCAGCATAAGCAAAAACAAAATATAGCTCCATTAACTAGGAACACTCTCTTATAAAGCATAGCCTGATCGCAATAAAAAGAAAGATGTGTTGCTACGTACAAAAGCAAACCACTGTGAATATTGAGCCTTGTTATCCGGCTCTGCTTCATGTGAGTGTTACTGTTTTTTTGAGCTATACCTCACTGGTAGACATTGTACCATTTGCAATATATCTTGTCTATTTTGTTTCGGCATATGCTGCTCTCCTGCCTATGTATTACTGTTAGTAAAAGGTAAGATACTCCTTTTTAAATTTTTTTTTTTTTTTTTTTTTAACTTCGCTGTTATCTAGATTTTCTAAATTATTTTTTATTTTGGTGAGGGGAGTAAGATTAATGCTCATAAGTATTAATGCGCTGCTAATTTGTGTCTAAGTATTTAAGCACTTTTGTTTCCCCACACTACACCTTTGTGGTTTACATATACAGTGGGGGGGGAGGAGGAGGGAATATTTGACCCCTTCGACTTAGTACTTGGTGGCAAAATCCTTGTTGGCAATCACGGAGGTCAGACGTTTCTTGTAGTTAGCCACCAGGTTTGCACTCATCTCAAGAGGGATTTTGTCCCACCCCTCTTTGCACATCCCTCTCCAAGTCATTAAGGTTTCGAGGCTGACGTTTGACAACTCGAACCTTCAGCTCCCTCCACAGATTTTCTACGGGATTAAGGTCTGGAGACTGGCTAGGCCACTCCAGGACCTTAATGTGCCTCTTCTTGAGCCACTCCTTTGTCTTGGCTGTGTGTTTTGGGTCATTGTCATGCTAGAATAACATCCACGACCCATTTTCAATGCCCTGAGGGAAGGAGGTTCTAACCCTCGATTTGATGATACATGCCCCATTCATCGTCCCTTTGATGCAGTGCAGTTGTCCTGTGCCCTTGACAGAAAAACACCTCCAACGCATAATGTTTCCACCTCCATGTTTGATGGTGGAGATGATGTTCTTGGGGTCATATGCAGCATTCCACCCCTTCCAAACACGGCGAGTTGAGCTTGATTTTGGTCTCCTCTGACCACAACACTTTCACCCAGTTCTCTGAATCTTTCAGATGTTCATTGGCAAACTTCAGACAGGCCTGTACGTGTGCTTTCTTTGCAGTTGCTAAAAACGCATGTAGTAGTAGTTGATGCTAAGCTACTAGTGGTGTATACCTAGCTGTGGCTTACTTTTCTGAGAGTGCACCTTAGTGAAACATGCCCTAGACGAAATTACTCTAATGTAATGTTGTTCTACAAGCTAATGGTTATTTCGTGGGTATAACCTCTGGGACTTAAAGCAGTAAGCTACCACAGCACCACCAAAATAGAGAAAAGAACCATAAAATCAAAAAATAACGCATGATGATAATTGCATGACTTTTAGCGGCATATATCCGTGACAGTCACGGGTAATGGATGGTGACATGACTCTGGTAGTATTCTCCAGGCCAGATCAGCAGATTCCCATGTGTGGCAGTGCTTATTTCACTCATTGACACGCAAATCAAGGTATAACTTTTTTGACTTGTTTTTCTGCATGTTTTTTTTGTCTCACTGTTAAGGTTTCGAGGCTGACGTTTGACAACTCGAACCTTCAGCTCCCTCCACAGATTTTCTACGGGATTAAGGTCTGGAGACTGGCTAGGCCACTCCAGGACCTTAAAAATACACCTACCATTAAAATTATAGACTGATCTTTGTGAGTGGGCAAATGTTCAAAATCAGCAGGGGATCAAATACTTTTTTTTTCCCCTCACTGTAAGTTTGTCATATTTGATATAAAGCATTACCCATTTGGATGTGGCCTAATTTTAAGCGTGCTTGTTTCGTTCTTTTTATTTGGTTTTGTTGTTACCGACAAGTTTCTCAAGTATAGTTGCACTTGAAATTTTAACCCTGTGGCCCTGTTTGCTATATATATTTTTTATTTATTTTGTTAACCAGTATGCTTGTTCCCCGCGTGCTATGACATTATATGATTGCATCATTATTAAATCGCCTCACACACCCCTCCAAAATGAGTATTTCATACATATATAATCTTTATAAAAAATGTTTGCATTGACTGTTGGAAATTCACTGAGATTCCAACACACTCTTAAATATCATAAGACAAGGTAGTGACTTCTTTGGAATGTGTATCTTTTCTACATCTGACAAAATCCCCCATAAACCTGTTACTCTTATGCATGCATGAGAGTGCAACTCTGACTTTGGCTACTGGCAGATGTCCACCAGGCAACACCCCCGGATTCCACAGCAGCTGGAAGCCTGGGATGTTGTTGCTGTCAGTCCATAAGCTGGCCCTACACTGTAGAGCTTTTCTGAAGACAGCTGACCAGACTATTACTCCTCTCCTGGTTGCTGCAGAAAGGTGAAGAGCTGCGCGCCCAGCAGTCCCCAGGGATCAGTCAGACCAACCATTCTAAAGCGGTTTGAGTACTTACAATGAGCAGACACTTCAGGCATCGTAACTACTACAGCTAGCTGTAGTTGTTATGGTGTTTGCTTTCTGGCACACCAAAAAGTCTGGAAAAACAATCAACCTTTTTCTGCAAGTTTTAAATTTTGGCAAATATGATTACATTGCAATGCAAGTAACATGTGCTGTGTTAATATATTTTTAATAGATCATCATGCATGTATTCTGCACATACCTTGATTCTCGATTGCCTCCTCACCCTAAGTATCCTGATGGAAAAACGTTCACTTCTCAGCATTTTGTCCAGACACCAGACAAACCAGGTTTGTGTTCACAGCTGTATGTTAAGTTGTGCTAGAAATATATACTTGCTTTGCTGCTTGGTTTTTGTGTTCTTGTTGTTTGTTATAATTTAAACATAAACCTAAGGAAACGCACAGTATTACAAATATTTATATTGTTGGGAAACGGTTTGCTATATGCAAATCCTATTTTTGACCCCCTTTTTTTTTTTTTTTAATTAAAGGATTACTACAAATATAACCACTGCAGGATGCTGTAGTAGTAGTAATACTAAGAATACCATGGTGACATTCTCTAGGAATGGGGAAAAACATTTTGCGAAAGTTTGCCCTCTTACGTGGGTCCTGTCTTTCTCCAAGCCTAATATAATGCTATCATCTAGCTACTACACAGCAGCGGTAGCCGAATGCTGATCCCATTGGTCATTCATTTAATTAATAATCCTTCCATTCGTGCAAAAGATATGCACGGAATTGATATTAGTCAGTCGGGAAGTTTTGTTCTACACTGGCTGATGCTGCCGGAGACATAAACATAAAATATTGTGATACTTGGATTAATTCTTTAATCCTACACTGTGGGTTACTATCTAGCGGTTGTTGAATCCTAAAAGCATACAACGGTTCACAAAATAATTAAGTTTATAAAAACACTTATGTGAATTGTATTGTCCTAGGCAGGTGTACTGTTAAACAGTAGTATCATGGACATAAAGTGTGATTTCCTTGCAGCTAGGACATTGCTGTGGAAAGCATTTTGAAGATATTTTGGATGCCAACGTATTACCAGTGGTGGAATACTTTGGCAATATTTTTCTTTTATATCTTAGTGTAGCCTGACCATTATAAAAAAAAAAAAAAAAAATAGGCTCTCCTATCTAAAGCACTTTGCTCCCTGGGCTGCCATCGTCCGCAAATAAATGTTTGTAGCACTTATAGCAATGTTCTTGTATTGTATATTAACCCCTAAAGAGGAACCGTCTGCATGTCTTTAATGAGAAGGTGTAATGCAAAGTTGGGCACTAATATAATTTTAAATGCTAAATAACATAATTTTATAATTTGTTTCTCTGTAACACAACACTTGGTATATGCAGGCTGTGAGTGCTGATCTTCAATAGCCACCAAGGTGCTCAATGCAGTATAATGGGATAATTTTACATTTTGTATATTACTTTTCAAGCAGTTCTATCTCCAATCCAAATGGTATAGTACAAAATCCAAAGTGGTTTACAATATTGCTAATACGTAACAATGTTATAAAAATGATAGCTTATGGGGTGGGGCCTGACTCTCAAGCTGGCCAGACGTGTTTGTCTGGAGCACCGGCAAACCTGAGATTTTTCAAAGGGAATTGTGCTGTCTGAGAGCGGGGACCACGACGGAAACAAGAGCAAGACATACCTACAGCCCCACTAACTCTGCTAAGCCTGCTATTGCCCGACGGACACACCATGTCCCTGGCCTAGCGACCCTCAAAGGCGCGCGGCCTTCTGTCTGGGGGAGGCGGCCGATCCCCCGGCAGAGGGAAAGTGCTCAAAGCGAATACACTGAAGCCCCGTCGCGCCCCCCCCCCCCCTTCTGGACCGTTGGGGGATATCACCACCTTGCAGCAACAGACCCATCTCCAGCGGACCCTGAGCGGCACATAAACACCCAGCGCAACGCTACCAAAATGGCCTCTGAGCTGCAACTAAGGCAGAGCAACCTGGGACTAACTGCTAAAGAATGAAGGGAAGCTTTTGAAGCTGTTTGATGCAATCTGCCTGGCGTTTTGGCTTACACTCGAAGCAAGACCTTTCCTGCCAGCTTCTCCTGCCAAGAGGGTGCCCGACTCTACCATCCCGTCTGCCCGATACTCTTCTGGGCTGGAAGCCCGCCAGGAGTTTACTCCATGCCGTCCATACACCCAAGGGGGCGCCCGGAATGAGGAGAACCCGCGGGCCCACGAGCCGACCACAGAGATTAGGCGGCTTCATGGACACAAGGCAAGGGCTCTCACTAAGGCCCGGAGCCGCAGAGGTGGGAAATCGCGACACAGTGGGAACACCCTACGAAACAGCGAACAGACCAACGAAACGCATGCCCCCCTCCTTCCCGTGGCCATTGACCACAAGGCCTGGCTGGGGAATATAATGTCGATCTGAGGACAATCATTCTGAGCATCACAGACAATGCCACTTTGGGGGGACAACACCATACCAGCTGCTGGCGTGGGCTAAGTAACGTTTAGAGATACGGAGCCACGAGGCTTGAGAAACCGCTGTTTTATATCACATTATGATATCTTGTGTTGTTTACGCTACCCAGTTGTTTACTAGTCTAGTCATGTTTATTTTTCTTATATCACCTCTTATCACAAGCTCTACATGTCTCAAAGACTCTGATTTCAGCTCCAGTGGGAACTTATTCCAGTCCATCTGTTTAAGCATGATTAATACTCTCAAGTAATGCTCATTGATTAAGCAAGGTTATACATAACTCCTAAAGCCTGTTTGATTATGCCTTAACATAACTATTAAATGGGGGCGGGGCATGTCAGCCAAGATGGCCAGACGTGTCCGTTGATGGCTCCTGCTGAATCTGCAGTAAAATGGCTGAAATATCACGGCAAAACTAGTGGGACACGACTCTCTAGGCAACCCAGGGATCACCCCCGACTACAATCTCAGCCTGAAACCGGGTACACTGATGGAAGCACATTGCACCTCAGCTTATGGCCTGCAGCAGCTGACGGCCCGGCCGGGGCAAACGGCCAATCTCCAGGCTCAGGTCTGCCTAAGGAGCCTGAGCAGCCCTGTTTCCCCCCCTTTGGACCGGTGGGGGATATCCCGGTCCCCGCTGGGCACACCTACACCTGGGCAAGCCTGACAGTGCAATTCAGTGTTACTGAAACCGCATGGTCACCAAAGATGGCGGACGCACTGCACCCTCTGCAACCACATGCGAGCCTCACTGGCCTATCATCGAGGGAGACCTTCGAGGCTAACTTCGAGAGGCTCTGTCAGTCATTCTGGTTCCGTTTACAGGCACACCAGGCAACCTCCCACATTTCCCCCAGGAGCCTGGCGGCAATGGAGACTGCTCTCCCTCCACCAGGGCGTAGGGCCCACTCGGAGATGAAGCCAACCCGACACCCTTAAGCTAAAGGGTCTCTCTCCTTGCAGCGTCTCCCAAGTCAGACCCACGAGACAAAGCAGCGCCACAAGCAAACGGGCGGGACACGGATGCAAAGTGGGAGATGAGGAGCCTCCACGGCAGCACCGGTCTTGGCGACCTGAGCCAGAAGCTGCCCGAGATACAGCTCCTAATGGGGCCCTTCAGCACCCACGACACGCACCCTCGGACAGACTCTCCCCAGCGGGCTTACCAGAAGCCCACCACTCAGTACCGACACAAAAACAGGCCTGCTGACCGCGACAAGACCAGGGAAGCCAATACATCAGACTGCCTTGGGGTTCAGGGTGGGGGGCTAGCACTTGGACTCATGTTCCCCTGGGAGGATAAACTGCCATCACTAGGCATTGGTTGAACTGCCCCAGTAAGAGGGGATAAACCCCATAATGCAAGCTTTGCAGTATCTATCTAGGACAAAGCAACTGTATACTATTGCATCCAGTTTAAGTGGAAATTGTCCTCCCATTCTAACATTGCAATTTCTGGCCTTACTGTTTTTTTTGTTTATTTCTTTTTCTCTCGCTCCTGGTATTGCTAGGTCTCTCAACTACCTATGCTTACACACTAGTCAAGCTAAGTTAACATGTTACCCACTGCTCATTGCCAGCTTATCCCATGCATAGCAAATCCCAGGAATGCTTGTCACTTCTTAGCATGATGAGAAGGCCTTCGGGGTCTCCCATGATAGTAGCTTGTCGTATACATGAGGGGAATGTTAGCTTAACCTCCATCTTAGTCTGTTTAAATCACACATTATAAACCTTGGTACCCAGCAGCTACCAAACTTGAGTCAACTATAGTTAGTTAAGCATTGTCAATCAAATTTAAGCATGTTGTATAACTCTCTCCTACTATACAAGGTTAAAGTTAGACTACTCGAGATACAATCATGCCTATTGCCTTACCATTCACTGACACAACCTGTACTAACCTGTTATTTACTTAAAAATGTGCAGTTCTCATATATACCTCAGTATTAGGCTATGTGAAATGTCTGTATGTGTCGTCGTGGCAAAATAAGCATATCTGTTAAACTTTTGCACACAAAAAAATAAATTATAAAAAAAAAAAAAACATAACAAACACAAAAAATTGCAGTACTGCAATGAGCCACTATTATCTCTTGTGTAATGCTGGATATTGCTATTGTGGCATATCTCCCCTGCTTGTAACCAAATCGTTCTTATACTATAAAATAGTGCATGTTAACTCCAATACCCTGATTGTTAAGTGAGATAAGCAAGAGGACTGCCGTTGGAGTACCTCAGGCCTGTGTGTACCCACCTTATTAACTGCAAAAATACTAAATTAAAAAAAATAAAGCTTATGGAATTGGATGGTCCATATCTACTTTTTAGTTTAATTTCTATTGTAATGTAAAGTGTTGGTGCTGTGGAAGGAAAAGAGGCTACAATAAAATAGAATATATCTTATTTTATGTATTCTGTATGTTCATCAATACCCATGAAACTCCTTTTGTCTAGTTTGCTGTATACGTAACATTAAAATGGATGTATTTTCATAACAATCTAAATTTTCTGTTATTGCTTTAGATATGTCAAAGGAAAATCTGTTTTGCATTTATCAGAGCAGCATTACTCCTCCCCATTATGAACTAGTCTATCAGAAGCATGTCTACAACTTGCCAAAGGTATTTCTATGTTGTGTTGGTGTTTGTTTTTGTTTGTTCTAGAGTGAATGCTTTTCTACTTAATACAAATTGTATTGATTTTGTATTTTTATTTTTTTAATTGGTTTATCAACTGTTACCCTACATCGGGCATAGGCAACCTTCGGCACTCCAGTTGTTTTGGACTACACCTCCCATGATGCTATGCCAGCATTATGGGGGATGTAGTCCACAACATCTGCAGTGCCAAAGGTTGCCTATACCTGCCCTACATTATTGCTAGTTAACCCTTGAATATTCTGGGTGGTTGTTGTTTAAAGGGACACTATAGACACCCAGAACACTTCATTGCATTGCTGTGGGTGCACTGTCCCTGTCCTCTTAACCCTGCAATGTTCCCCTTGATTCTCAAGCCTGCAACCGAGCCAGCGCCAAGGGATTTCTCTGTTGCAATAAGGTGAGTGTTTTATAACCCTTTTTTACCCTTTAATTGCTGTGGGGGAGAGGGCAAAGGGATAATGTATATCTATCTGTCCCTCCCAAATCTCTTGGCACTCACCCTACATGAAAAATATAAATCTATACAGCCCGGTTGCCACATGCCCATGTTGAATATGTAGAGGCTAATAAAAGGTTGCACTTGGAGGTCTTCCAAAAAACAAAGTGTTTAATAAATCATCAAAATTAGATTCGTGTCTGACGTTTCGGCGCATTCGGCCCTTTCTCAGGATCTTGAGAAAGGCCTGAACGGGCTGAAACTTCGGTCAGGCACTTTTGAAGACCTCTAAGTGCAACCTTTTTATTGGTGTGTGTATGTATGTATTCACAACACCCTTGGGTTCCTTTAAACATCTGTACAGAATATGACCAATTTTTTTTTGACAGAACCACTTTTCACTACCTTGGGAGAAATCTCCATTGTTCAAATGTCTCCCCTCTTCTTTTTTTGTGGGGATGGTTGTGGTTTATACTTTTTTTATTTTATTTTTTTTTAGGATGCTTAAAATGGCACTGCATATTCAGGGACTGGTCTTAAAGAAAATAGAATAATCTGTCCTAATGCTATAATAGAGAAAATCAATAAAATCCTTTATTAATAAAACAAAGAAAACACACACACACACACACAAACTCGTTCACTTGCCACAACCACTACTATTGTGGTTTCGTTATGGCAGTGCGTAAGTCTAAATCTAAATATGCTATGTGAAGGTAATATACAATAGGAAGGGGAGTGAGAAAACAAATAAATAGTCACAGATGCTGGGCAGAAACCCAGTTCCAGGGTTAAATGGAAACTCCAGTGCCAGGAAAACAATCAGTTTTCCTGGCATTGCAGGTCCCCTCTCCCTCCCAACTCCCAATCCCCAGTAGCTGAAGGGGTGAAAACCCCTTCAGGTCACTTACCGGAGACCCCGCCGATGTCCGGCGGTGGTTTCTTCTCGCCGCCGCTCCTCCCCGTCATTACATCGGCTGGTGGGCGAGACTAATCACGCCCACCGGCCAGGGAAGTCTTAATGAAAGTGTCCTAATCGAATGCTTTCCTATGGGGAATTGAGCGACGCTGGAGGTCCTCACATAGAATGAGGACGTCCAGCGACACTCTAGCACAGGTTTTCTAGTAACCCTGCAAGGTAATTATTGTAGTTTATAAAAACTGCAATAATTACACTTGCAGGGTTAGGGGTAGTGGGAGTTGGCACCCAGACCACTCCAATGGGCAGAAGTGGTCTGGGTGCCTGGAGTGTCCCTTTAAGTAGTTACACCTCAGAAAAAGTGGCTGTTCAGTGCACGCAACACAGTGTCAATTGGAAGACTAGGTTGCTAGTACACAATATATTACCTAGAGTTGTTATAAATGTATGCTAATCCTCAAAGAAAGTGTCCTGAACACAGACTCTATGCATGAGGGTGCTATATGAGGTACTGTGTATTAAATCTCGGATGTATATACATAACCAGTGGAATAGCAAAGATGCAATAAGTGCCAAGATGTAAGAACAGCTATCTGGGTTACTGCCCAAAACCAGTAAAATACCAGACTACGGTCAAGCCAGTAAAGACTAAAAAAACTTTTAAATCTCCAGCGATATCTAAGTATTCTTTGAATATGTGATAAACTCTGCTGACATCTCTTGGAAGATAGAAAAGGGTAACACACAATCTCTGTTAAAGGACCACTCTAGGCACCCAGACCACTTCAGCTTAATGAAGTGGTCTGGGTGCCAGGTCCCTCTAGGATTAACCCTTTCTTTTTTTTTTTTCTTTTTTTTTTTTTAAATAAACATAGCAGTTTCAAAGAAACTGCTATGTTTATAAATGGGTTAATCCAGCCTCTAGTGGCTGTCTCATTGAAAATCACAGTGAGAAGACGCCAGCATCCATAGGAAAGCATTATAAATGCTTTACTATGAGACTGGCTGAATGCGCACGCAGCTCCTGTCGCGCATACGCATTCAGCCAAAGAGGATTGGAGGCGGAGAGGAGGAGGAGAGCTCCCCGCCTGGTGCTGGAAAAAAGGTAAGTTAAACCCCTTTCCTCTCCCCAGAGCCTGGCGGGAGGGAGTCCCTGAGGGTGGGGGCACCCTCAGGGCACTATAGTGCCAGGAAAACTAGTATGTTTTCCTGGCACTATAGTGGTCCTTTAAGAATACCTAAAAGACCCAGGATATATGTAACGGAGAGTAGCGTAGGGAGTGTCTGACCAGCAGCCAGGTATGGCTGTAACCGGCAGACAATGTAGTTATGTTCGATAGGACCACACACACCCATGTGACAGACAGATTCTTTGAGGATTAGTATACATTTATAACAACTCTCGGTAATACATTGTGTACTAGCAACCTAGTCTGACAATTGACACTGTGTTGCATGCACTGAACAGCCACTTTTTCAGAGGTGTAACTACCTAACCCCGGAACTGTTTCTGCCCAGCATCTGTCTGTCTATTTATTTTTCTTACTCACCTTCCTATTGTATATTACCTTCACATAGCATATTTAGATTTAGATTTGCGCACTGCCATAACGAAACCACAATAGTAGTGGTTGTGGCAAGTGAACGAGTTTGTGTGTGTGTGTGTGTGTTTTCTTTGTTTTATTAATAAAGAATTTTATTGATTTTCTTTCTATTATAGCATTAGGACAGATTATTCTTTCTTTTTTCATTACTATCTACCCTAGGGTTACCACCTAAACCTGATCCTGCTCTTTCATTTGGACCTATACTGGGCTACCACTTCATTAAACTTCAATGAATGGTCTTACCCTTAACAGTCAAACCATATTTTTTTTATGCATGGCAGTACCTTATTGGCCTTTGCAACTGCTAAATAACATTGCACATTTTTGCCTTGTCAACAAACTCTGTCCTGCACTGGCTGTGTGTTGCTCTAAATAAATAAAAATATCCGGTTTCTTCTGCTGCAGAAGACCAAACGCAGTGCAACACCCTGGTACGTTGTCAAGCAGCCAGCGAGCAAATACTTAAAGGACCAATCCACACCCCAAAAGCACTTCAGCTTGCTGAAGTGCTTTATGGGTGACGAGTATCCTAGTTGAAAGCCAATTTATAAAAGTGCCGATTTCTCTGAGAAATCAACACTTTTATAACTTATCTAGGGAACTCAAACAGTCATGGAGGATTGCTTCCACTGAGCTAACAGAAGTGGCACGCAGATTCTGCTTGAGTGTGCCTGCCTCCCCCTCCCTCACAGACCTGAGACCAGCTTCTCTGTTGCAGACGGGCGCGTGCACAAGCAGGCGTGAGCTTGCACATGACCAAGTCAGAGGCTTCTCAATGAGAAGTCTCTGGTTATTTTCCTGTGAAGAAAGTCTCTTCCTGGAAAAAAAGGACTTACAAAGGCTGCAGTCATAAGAACTGCAGCTTTTTTAGTCTTTTAAGCTATACCCCCACTGAATACATGCATGGAAATTCATCCACGTATACATTGGGGGGGTATGTAAACTAAACCGTGATTTATTTTTACTAGGTGACCGTAAAGTGCTCCTTTTAAGCAAATTAAATGACTAAAATAAAACAACCTGGGTTTACCTAAACTCCTGTTAACCAGAAAAGTCCTAGATATAATGCACCGATCACCTCACACAAAAGCTGGAGATGTTACGGTTAATATTGATTTGAGTGGTCCACTATTTGTAGCAATTTAAAAAAATAATAATAATTTATTCGGCTCTATTGATCTTTTTTTGAAGTCTTTCTCCTCGTGATGCTAATTATAGTTGTGGGGTTTATTATACATTGTTGGACATATTTTGAAACCAACTACCTGAACATTTTGAATTACTACTTTGGTTCTATATTTCAAGTGTTCAGTTGTGTACTGCACTTTTTTTTTTTTTTTCTTCATACTGTCGCGTGTTGCCCTTATAGATGTGTGGATGAGGCTCAAATTTAGTATACAGCACAGCAGGTTTGAATTAACGTGTGTGTCAAAATACCAGAGTATTTTATAGACTAGCTTTTGAGAGTTTTCATCTCTTCCTCGGGTCTGAAACAATACTCTTCAATCTAGTTTAACACTTAAACCAACTGATGTTAGAGAAGGGGAGGGAGGATGAGTGGGGTGTCATAAATAGTGAAAGTGAAAGGTGCAAGTTGGCTAAGAATAGACAGAAAAAGTAAATAGATGAGTCAATAAGCTAGTTGAAAAGATAAAGAGAAAACAAACAAGCAAACAAGAAAACAGCGGAGCAGGGCATGCAAGTAAATAGCTGCATATATGTGTGCATGTGTATATATGTATGTGTATAAATTGATCCAATAAAGGTGAAGCAAGAATATTGAAAACAAACTATAGGGAACACAGGGACTGCCAGCCTCAAACATAGGAGTCAACGGGGCGGGGGAAAACTGTCACAGACAGCCCAGAGCTGGCATGAGGGTACCGTCCCAAGGCCCATTCCGCTACACTTAAATTTTCATAGAAACGTAGGTTTATTTTGAAAAGTACAGTATGAAAAAAAAACAGCATCCCCCTCTACTAAACCACAGCACCCCCCATATACTAAATCTCAGCACCCCCTCTAGCCAACAAGCCGACTCCACTCACATTGCCACTGCCAGTATGTGACTCGGGCCTCTGGTATACCCCAAATGGCGCCGTCCGCACTCTGTCCCAAAGCAGATCCTCCAGCTGCTTCTTGAAACCCTGTGAAGGTGGAGCACGTCGACATCACGTCGGAATGTGCTGTGGCGTTGCGTGCCTCCATGCACCTCCAGGTACTTCACTGTCCAGCTGAGGCCATCCTAACACTGACAGACACTCGCTCACACACTGACAGATACACACATTTACACTTTCTTGCACACACTCACATAATTTTATTTATTGCTTCCTACCTTTGGGAGCTGGTGTGGGACATCTCCCTGGGGTCCAGAGGGGATCTTCTCTCTGGAGATCTCATTCCTGCTCCCTCACGCGCAGTTTAGTGAGGACGGGTGCCGGAATATGATGTCCTCTTCCGGCATCACTGCAAACAGCGCGCACAAGGGAGCAGTGAGGAGCAGGAAGACTGAGCTCCTCCAGCAATCTCTCCTAGTCCCGACTGGGTAAATTTTAGCAGAGTAGGCACCTGCAGTGTGGAGAATGCAGGTGCCTACTCTGCTTTAACACTAAGCATGTGCTCGCCGGGCCGCAAAGATGGTCCTTGTGTGACGCCCACGGGCCGCGAGTTCGACGTGCTTGTACTAGAGTGATTCTTGTTTTTGTTCCTATTCTTTGTATTGTAGGAGCCTTTCCTGTGGTGTTTTAGGGCAAATCTTTTTTTTTTTTTTTAAATACATATTGTCCTTTTGCCTAAATGACTCTGATAGTGTACTCAGGTGCTAATCCCTGTTTTTTTTGTGTCCGAGCAAATGCAGTGATATCTGATAGCCTGGCTGTAGATGATACCTTGTTTGGTGTGATTGGGATGGAAGCTGGAATTGTGAAGGTAGCTGTACCTGTCTGTGGGTTTTCTTTATGCAGACGAATGAAGAATGCCATTGGTGACGGTTATTGTGCAGTCCAAGAAACTCACTATGATTTGAAAAGTTTGTTTTAAGGTTTGATGGGTGGAATGAATTGAATGATTTATTAAAGTGTATAAGGCTTTCTTCTCCTCCTTCTGTCCATATTATGAAAATATCATCGATGTAACGGTATGTATATAGTTTGTGGGCTGTGTACATAAAAACCTGTTTTCTAGGTCCATCATGAAAAGATTTGGGTATTGGGGTGACATATTTGGGAGGGAGTGGGTAAGGGGGTGATAGGGAGGGGGTAGTGTTGGTGTGGGAAGGAGTATACTGGGGGATACTGTGAGGTGTGGGAGGGAAGAAAAGAGGAAAACTCTCAAAAGCTTGTCTTTGAAATATGTTAGTCCAATAAAAAAGGTACAATTGCATACTGCAATACTCTGGTATTTTGGCCTCTTGTGTACTGGACTAATACGGCTAATCCAGTCCACATATATATGATATGTATATGATTAGATATATGTTGTAATTTATTTTGTTTTTGTTTTTTTAAACTGGCACTTTACTTTTAAATCAAATACCTTGTGACAAACTGTGAGCATTACATCTGTAACCAATGTTTTTGTGTGCTTGCCGTTTCTTTATTGAATTGTATGCAATCTGCTGGATTTAAGCACCGGGCACATCATAGATCTTTGGACCCCTTAGTGTAGGGCCCTTGTAGAATTATCTTTTACATAAATCTATAATGCAACCTAAACATCCTACATGTAGTGTGGTAGGTTATAATATATTTTAATTTACTTTTTTTTTCAGGGAAGAACCAATCTATTTCATACTTTGCTTATGTTCCTGTACATCATAAAGACAAAAGAGTCTGGGATGCTTGGGTAAGTGGAATGCCAGCAATTTTGTTCTATTCGCTTTTTGATTCAGGCTATGCTATATAATTAAGTGACTTATGACCCACTATAACATTATTTAAAAGTTGCACTGCTGAAGGCAACAGAAAATTGCATTAGTCTTGTCAGTAAAAGCAAAAAAATCAAGAAACCACTGTGGTACTCCGCAGATGTGGCCAACATAGTAAAAAACAAAAAGTTAGCATTTAGTAATTATAAATAAATAAACCAGAGTGAGGAAGACCGAATGACCTATAAGATTAGCTAGAAAGAGGCTAAGCAAGTTATAAGAGCTTACAAATTACACAGAAGAGAAAATAGCACAGTCAGTAAAAAAAGGACAAAACATTTTTTAGATACATAAATGAGAAAAGGAAAGTAAAACAAGGATTAGTTAGATTAAAAACAAAAGAAGGAAGGTATGTAGAAGATGATAAAGGTCTAGCTGACTGCCTCAATTAATATTTTTGTTCAGTATTTACAGATGAAAATGAAGGAAAGGGGCATTTGTTACATGTGAGCTTACAGAGGAAGAGGTGCTATTTCAACTGTCAAAAGTAAAGACAAACAAGTCAATGGGACCTGATGGAATACACCCAAAGTTCATAAAAAGAGCTTAATGGTGTATTTGCAAAACCATTAACATATTTATGTAACCAATCATTAACAAGAGTAGTCCCAGAAGTTTGGAAGTTAGCGAATGTTGTGCTCTTTCACAAGAAAGGTAGTAGGGAGGAGTTGGGCAACTATAGGCCTATAAGCCTTCCTTCACTAGTGGGGAAAGTAATGAAAACCATGTTAAAGGATAGGATTGTTGAACATCTAAAATCACATGGATTTCAAGATCAGATACATGGGTTTACTTCAGGGAGGTCATGCCAAACTAATCTTATTGACTTTTTTGATTGGGTAATTAAAATAATAGATCAGGGTGGTACAGTAGACATTGCTTACCTAGATTTCAGTAAGGCTTTTGACACTTGCACATAGAAGGCTTATAAATAAACTGCAATCTTTAAGTTTGGATTCCAATATTGTTGGATGGGTAAGGCAATGGCTGAGTGACAGGTAACAGATGGTTGGAGTCAATGGAGTATATTTGAAGCATAGTCTTGTCACCAGTGGGGTACCTTAGGGATCTGTACTTGGACCCATTCTCTTTATGTTTATTAGTGATATTGCAGGTCTTGTTGGTAAGGTATGTCTTTTTGCTGATGATACTAAGATATGTAACAGGGTTGATGTTCCAGGAGGGAGAAGCCAAATGGCAAATGATTTAGGTAAACTAGAAAAATGGTTTAATGGTTGTTGAGAGTTGTGGCAACTAACATTTAATGTGGATAAGTGCAAGATAATGCATCTTGGACATAAAAACCCAAGGGCAGAGTACACAATATTGGTTAGAGTCCTAACCTCAACATCTGAGGAAAGGAAATTAGGGGTAATTATTTTTTTTTTATATATATCATTTTTATTGAGGGTTCAACATCATAGTATTACACAGTAGGATCTAATACATTGGAGCCGTAAGAAACGGGTACAGTAACAGATCTGAGTGGCAACTGATTTCCAGTTACCTAATTATTCAAGCGATGCTTCAGGGTGCCACATATACAACAGCTCCATAGGCTGTTATTCCGTAATTGCTCTACTGGTTTCCTCAGAGTTGAGAGGTTTGCCAACGTGGCTATAACCCTTGATTTCTCAAGAAGAAAAAAAGGGGGGGGGGGAGGATGGAAGTAGGTGGGAGATGTCGGGAACTAGGGGGAAAAAAGAGGGGGGGGGGGTTTCGGGATGCTCCCCTATACATGTGTATTAGAGGGAGGTGTTCGTCGCCATGCTGTCACGGTCATCTACCATTTGGACCAAATGCCCTTATACTTCAGTAGGGTACCACTAATCGTGTGCGACATTTCCTCATACTGTTGGGTGAGATTCACTTTGGTAATTACCGACTGTATGTCTGGTGCTAAGGTGGATTTCCATAGGGCAGCTATTCGTTGCTTTGCAGCAAGCGTGATGTGGGTGATCAGTGAGGCCTCGTGGGCTGTTATTTCGGGTGGCATCATATGGAGCAGGTAATGTTCAGGGGCAGGTGGTAGGTCTATCCCTACTCTGAGTTTTATCAGGTCTTGGATTTGTTGCCAGTATTGGCTGAGTGCAGGGCAGTACCAGAATATATGGCTTAGGGTGCCTTCTTGTTGGTTACAGCGCCAGCACGTTGCCCGGGAGCCCGGGTATATTTCGGCCAGCCGTTGAGGCGTATAGTACCATCGAAGCCATAACTTGTAGGCCGCTTCTACGTGGTCTAGGCAGTGTGTGGCTTTTTTTACTAATGACATGGCCCTCATCCATCTGTGCGGCTCAAAGGTACTGTTCAGCTCCCTTTCCCATTGTAACATGTAGGATTGTTTTGTTGGCCTGTCTAAGTCTAATAGGCGATGGTAACATAGGGACAATGGCTTTTTGGGGGTTTTTTGGCCCAGGCACATCGTGTCAAAACAGTTGTGGGGTTGTGTGAGCATGGTTAGTTTTTTGACGTCTCCTATTATGTGTTTAATACGAATGTATGTGAAGATCTCCTTGTTAGGTATGAGGTATTTTTTCTGGAGGTCGGGGAATGGTAGTAGACCATCTATTCCCAGGAGATGTGATATTCTGGTCACTCCTTGTCCTATCCATCCCTGCAAGGGGAGGTCGTGAGTGTGGTGCTGGAGAGTAGTCAGCGGGGCAAGGGCTTCTATGTTCCCACCGGTCATTTTTGGGGCCCATCTGAGCCACACCTGGAGTGATCCCCTCGATGTCGAGAGTAGCTTGGGATAATGGGGTTGGGCCTTTGTCGTGGTCCACAGTAGGTCGCCGAGGGATAGAGGTGCGCTGAATGCACTCTCTAGGTGGAACCACATTGGGTAGTCTGAGGGAGCCAGAAGGCGTGCCATCTGGGCCAGGTGTGTCGCTAGATAGTATTTGGTTATGTGGGGCACACCCACCCCACCTCCTCCCATGACCATACTGATGTTCGCCAGAGATACCCTTGGTGGTTTCCGTTTCCATATGTGCGCATTAATGAGGCTTTGGAATGCCCGGAGGGTGTACTTGGGGAGGGTAATCGGTAGGGCTCTAAAAAGAAATAGTATTTGTGGGAGGATGACCATTTTGATGGCATTAATTCGTCCTAGCCATGATGTGTTTTTGGTGCCCCAGCTATCCAGCCGTCGTTCTATGTCTCCCATCAATTTCCTATGGTTATGTCTTCTGAGTTTGGTTTTTGAGGGTGTCAGCTGTGTGCCTAAATAAGAGAGGGTATCCTTCCTCCATTCGAAGGGGTGGAGTACTTTTAAGAGATTCAAGTTGGGATCAGGGCAGGTTCATGGGTAGCACCTGTGTTTTTGCTATGTTGTTTTTATAGTAAGATACACGGCCGTAGTCGTGCAAAAGGTGCAGTAGAGTGGGGAGTGAGTCTGAGGGCCTGGTGAGAAAAAGGAGGATGTCATCCGCAAACACTGCTAGTTTATGTTGTCCCGTTGGTGAGGGGACCCCCGCGATGTTAGTTTGCCTTGATTTTGTGGAGTAGGGGTTCCATTGCGAGAATGAATATGAGGGGCGAGAGTGGGCAGCCCTGTCGTGTGCCGTTCGTCAGATCAAAGCGTCTAGAGACGAAGCCAGAGCTCATGACAGTCGCCCGGGGGGGAAGTGTACAGGGATAAGAGTCCAGTCAGGAATTGGGGCGGAAAATTAAACTTGCGCAGGACCTCCGACATATAGCCCCAGTGGAGCCTGTCGAAGGCTTTCTCCGCATCTAGGGCAACTATAAGGCCTTGTAACCGGTCAGAGTCCATGAGTTCCATTATGTCCAGGGCCTGTCTGGTGTTGTCCTCAACCTGGCGGCCCGGGACAAAGCCCGACTGCTCAGGTGAGACGAGTTGGCTTAGGAGGGGTCGGATACGGTTTGCTAGGACCTTGGCGAATAGTTTGGTGTCGGCATTGAGGAGCGAGATCGGGCGGTAGTTTGCACATAGGTCTGTGGGTTTGCCTGGTTTGGGAATTGTGACAATTGTGGCTTCCAACATCTCTGGGGGTATGTTACCCGTGACTAGAATGTGGTTAAATAATGCCGTGAGGTGGGGGAGTAGTTGGTCCTCAAACACCTTATAATAGTGTACGGAGTAGCCGTCCGGTCCTGGGGCTTTATGTCTCGGGGTGTCTCGTAGTGCCCTGGTGATCTCGGCTGGTAGGATCGGGGTGGTCAGCGTTGCGGCCTGCGCGGTGGAGAGCTGGGGGAGATGTATACCCTCCAGGAAGGTGGCGATGTTCTGAGGGGTGGGCTGGTGTTGGGTGGAATCCCCGGAGAGATTGTATAATTTTGCGTAAAAAGTAGCAAATTCGTCTACAATCGCTTTGGGGTTCATGATTTTGGTTCCATGTTCATCCTTGATATAGGGGATTTTTACCTGGGAGATTCTCGCCTTAAGCTGAGAGGCCAGCAGTTTACCAGCCCTATTCCCCTGCCTATAGTAAGTTGTTTTCATCTTCCTAATGGCTCTCTCTACCCGTTGCATTTGTAGTGTTTCTAACGTGGATCTAATGTTTTGGACTTCGAGTCTATGGGGTTCAGTGGGTGAGGCTTTGTGTCGTGATTCGGCTAACTGTAATTCCTTCAGTAGGGAGTCACTTTTTTCAGATAGTTGGCGCTTCAGTTTTGCCCCCATCTGTATGAGTGCTCCACGGGTGACTGCCTTGTGGGCCAGCCATGTCGTGGTGACGCTCGTGTGATTGTAGTGATTGACTTCGAAGTAATGTGTTAGTGATTTCTGGATCTCAGAGGCCCTCTCAGGGTTGTCTATGAGGGACTCGTTGAGCCTCCATTGCCCCCGTCCTCGGACTGGGTGTAGTGTGGTAAATGATGATGTGAGGGGGGCATGGTCTGACCAGGTTATCGGGGCAATAGCGACCTCCGCTAGGGTATCCAGGGTTTTAGTGTCGACCCAACACATGTCGATGCGGGAATATTGGTCATGGACCTTGGAGTAAAAGGTGTAGTCCCTAGAGGCTGGGTAGAGTGCCCGCCAGGTGTCATGCAGGTTATGGAGATGGAGGAGCGTCGTCAGTTTGTCCCCTAGGAGCTTGTCTCTTGGGTGGGAGCCCGGTGTCCCTGATCTGTCTAGGTCAGGGTCTAACACACAGTTAAAGTCCCCGCATATCATCGTCTGTCCCTTCTTTAGTTTGTCAACCTTTCTCAGTGCCTTTCGTAGGAAGTCGTACTGGTTGACGTTGGGGGGGGCAAAGGTTTGCTATAGTCACCTGTGCGTCATTGAGGAGGCCCACCAGGATCAGGAGCCTACCGTCAGGGCTCTTGTATTCCCTTTCACATTGGAAGCTCCAGTCTGAGTGGAATAGTGTGCTGACCCCTCTTGTCTTGTTAGGCGCTAGGGCGTGGTACGCTAGTGGATATGAGGAGGCCGAAAACTTTGGGGGGTTCGTGGCTGAAAAGTGGGTTTCTTGTATGCATGCGACCGAGGCCTTCAGGGCTTTCAGTTGAGATAGGGCCAGTCTGCGTTTTTGTGGGGTATTCAGGCCATGGGCATTCAGGGACACCAAGAGAAACTTGCTAGGGGGGCTCATTGCATTGGGGGTTGGGCGCCTCGTGGGCACATCTGGGTGATTGAGGTTGTCTCATGGGTTTAACGCAGTAAGGCTTAGGGAGGTCCTGGGCAGATACTTCGTCTCTTAGCCCATGGTAGAAAGGGAGCATCTCAAAGGTAGGGCCGGGGCATGGGAAATAACAGAGCTGATAACGGTGGGAACAAAAATATACAACATAAACCATGTATATACAGAGCGAATAGCTAAGAAGCATTATGGGGAGGACGCCTCCGCCGAGCGCGTACCCTCTATTGTTCTGAGAGGGGGCTGCAGCGGCGAGTGGTGTCCCAAGAGAACTTCGGGGGGGGGGAGGGAGGGGGTTCTTCAGCGTTCGGTGAGGCCTAAACGCCTGTCACAGTCCAATCACCCGGTATGGCTGAGTAGCTGGAGTGGGGCAAACATTCCCCGGGGCCCACAGGGGGGGGGGTCAGCGAAGGTTGCAGGTAGCAAGGGTGTGGGCCTAGGCCAGTTCATGAGTCTCATCATAGCCTTCTAGGGCCTAGGAAGATGTGAGGCGGGGGTGGAAGAATCCTTCGCCCCCCTGGAGGTGTAAGTCCAGATAAGTCTCTCCCTTGGGTAGCATTCCCGGTTTCCGGGAGGGGGGCGGCCAGCCCGGGGTATGGGGTGGCGGGAGGTGCTGGTGGTAAGGTGGCTGAGCGTGGTAGGGCCAGGGTACAGCTGTACTCACGTGCAGATGTAAAACCTTGGTGTTGCCACAGTTCATAGGACGGGTGTAGGCCTGAAGGGTGCCCCAGGGTTTGGAGAATAAGCCGGCAGCGGCCCATGTTAGGAGGAGCCGTGGTGGCGACATTGCTCAGGCCTTTGTCCAGCTTGTGGCCACTTTCCGCAGTGGGGCCGGGGTCGTGGGAGCGTTGTCAGTGGGAAATAATCCCCAGGATTTGAGGGTCTCCATTCCTTGGGTCGGGTCTTCAACTTTGGTCAGTGATCCATTGCGCCATATCAGGAGTTTAGTGGGGAAACCCCATCTGTAAGGCACTTTGTGGTTTCTGAGGCACTTTAGGGGTAATTATTTCTGATGACTTAAAGGTAGGCAGACAATGTAATAGAGCAGCAGGAAATGCTAGCAGAATGCTTGGTTGTATATGGAGAGGTATTAGCGGTAGAAAGAGGGAAGTGCTCATGCCATTGTACAGAACACTGGTGAGACCTCACTTGGAGTATTGTACGCAGTACTGGAGACCGTATCTTGAACGTATTTAGAAAATTGGGCAGACTAGATGGGCCAAATGGTTCTTATCTGCCGTCACATTCTATGTTTCTATTAAATTTTAATTCCGTGGTGAGTAGGACTCTTCCCATATTTTGCTATGGTATTAAGCACTCAAAGTAGCTAGTCAAAGATCAGGCAAAAAAGTAGAGGAAAAAGAAAACCGTCCTAAAACATGGCAACTAAAAACCTACTAAAACCCTATTACAAAGATTATCCGTTAAAATATTTAAAGTGTAATAAGTGATGTGGGATTACTATATTAAAAAAAAAACCAAAAAAAAAATCCCTGAACAATACAAAGCCATGGGTTCACTCAAGTATTTAGGAAAAGGTGTGCAATTATACACTGCGAGGTCGCAAGGACTTTCCTATTTTGGAAGTCCTAATGCGATCGTCGCCCATGTGCATTAGGTCCTCCCCGGCTGCTGGCAGCACTGGAATAGGGTAATTGATAAAGTGGCGAGGGGGGAGGCCAGCATGAAGGGGGGGCGCACTACAGGGAGATATCGTGCTAGGAAAACAACTTTGTTTTTCTAGCACTGTAGTTTCCCTTTAAGTTTTTAATTCACTTTGAATTCTCACTTGAACTTAAAGGCACTAACAGGGTTATTACTCTAAAGGTTACTACAGGGTTAAAACTCTCTTTGGGGGTGGGGGTTATGTGAGATGTATAATACATGACTAATATATGTGATTTTCTGAATTTGTTTTTCAGGAGAGTTAATCTTGGCTTATCGGGTGTGAACATCTTATGGATATTTGGTGATCTTTGATACTAGGCATAACCATTGTTTGAAGATTTTACTTTATTTTTCCACTTTTTGGAGGGTGTGGATGGGGATTTTATTTTAGTTTTTTGGGGGGGGGGTTTTGTTTTTTTTCATGACCGCTGTATTTTTATAGTATCTAGATTTATTTATAATGGTTTTCAAGAGACTTATTTTTCTTCTAGATTTTTGTATAGCTTTGGAGACAAACTTCTTAAACAAGATACCTGACAAATACGTAGAAAGACCTTGCAGTAGTGTGATTTGTGGGAAATCAGTTTGAAAATATCTGCACCAGCAAAAACTATGGGTTACATCTACATGTGCATCTACATTCTCTAGCACCACTGAAACCATTTACAAACTTTTTAAAAGTGCAGACTGAACATTTTTAGACTTTTTTTGTTTTTTTCAGTGTGTTAAATTAACTTTGCTATTTGTAACTTTTTTTTATTTCCCTTGCCAAATTCTATTTTTGAACTTTGGTTTGTATCTTTCATGTTTGACAGTACCATACTAGGTCAATGATTACTGATACAATTCCAAATATAAATAAATTTTTTGGTTTTTTTGGGAACAAACGTAATTTCTCCATGCGAGTTCAGATCATTTATTTACAGATTTCCACCAATGGCCATATCTAAAATATATACATCCTATATCTCTTTACTTTTTTTTTTTTTTTCTAGCACTAAATAATTGACACAGAATTTGGTCTATAATACCATTTGTTAAATTACACACTTTTTTATTTTTTCGTACCAAAAAAGGGTCTTGCTAGTAAACATTTTTTTAAAATTTATTTATTTAGCATCAGACTTATAAATTAAAGGCCAACATAGCAAAGTTGAAAAAAAATTGCTCGCTCTGCAAAGTTGAAGATCTACCACACCCCCAAAATTCTTTAGACAAAATTGATAATTGTGATAAGTCACCTTTACTCGTGTATAAACCTCCATGTTTAAACTGGATTTGGCATTATTTATAGTGTTTAATGTCTTTACCAAAAAAAAAGTTCTACAGAATCAAGTAGTCAATGAGCTGACTTTTCTTATAATTGTCTTTTATTTTTGAATATGAAAAACAGATGTAAAAAATACTATTATCCCTAATGCAGCAAACTGTGTAATATACCAGTGCTAATGTTTTGAATAAATCTGTTTTTATAACCTGCTATTTGTAATTCACAACTAAACAAAAATATAACATTTTTATACTAAATAATGTAATTCTTTTAAGTTATACAGCTGCAAGAAAAAGTATGTGAACCCTTTGCAATGATATGGATTTCTGCACAAATTGGTCATAAAATGTGATCTGATCATCATCTAAGTCACAACAATAGACAATAACAGTCTGCTTAAACTAAAAAAAACACAAATAATTAAATGTTGCCATGTTTTTATTGAACACACCATGCAAACTTTCACGGTGCAGGTGGAAAAAGTATGTGAACCCCTAGACTAATGACATCTCCAAGAGCTCATTGGAGTGAGATGTCAGCCAACTGGAGTCCAATCAATGAGATGAGATTGGAGGTGTTGGTTACAGCTGTCCTGCCCTGCCCTATAAAAAAAACACACACCAGTTCTGGGTTTGCTTTTCACAAGAAGCATTGCCTGATGTGATGTCTCGCACAAAAGAGCTCTCAGAAGACCAACGATTAAGAATTGTTGACTTGCATAAAGCTGGAAAGGGTTATAAAAGTATCTCCATCAGTCCACGGTAAGACAAATTGTGTATACATGGAGAAAGTTCAGCACTGCTGCTACTTTCCCTAGGAGTGGCCGTCCTGTAAAGGTGACTGCAAGAGCACAGCGCAGACTGCTCAATGAGGTGAAGAAGAATCCTAGAGTGTCAGCTAAAGACTTACAAAAGTCACTGGCAAATGCTAATATCCCTGTTAGCGAATCTACAATACGTAAAACACTAAACAAGAATGAATTCATGGGAGGATACCACAGAGGAAGCTACTGCTGTCCAAACAAAACATTGCTGCACATTTACAGTTTGCACAAGAGCACCTGGATGTTCCACAGCAGTACTGGAAAAATATTCTGTGGACAGATGAAACCATGAATGTTGAGTTGTTTGGAAGAAACACACAACACTGTGTGGTGAAAAAAAGGCACAGCACACCAACATCAAAACCTCATCCCAACTGTGAAGTGTGGTGGTGGGGGCATCATGGTTTGGGGCTGCTTTGCTGCGTCAGGGCCTGGACAGATTGCTATCATCGAAGGAAAAATGAATTCCCAAGTTTCTCAAGACATTTTGCAGGAGAACTTGAGGCCATCTGTCTACCAGCTGAAGCTCAACAGAAGATGGGTGTTTCAACAGGACAATGACCTATAGCATAGAAGTAAATAGATAACAGAATGGCTTAAACAGAAGAAAATACGCCTTCTGAAGTGGCCCAGTCAGAGTCCTGACCTCAACCCGATTGAGATGCTGTGGCATGACCTCAAAAAAGCGATTCACACCAGACATCCCAAGAATATTGCTGAACTGAAACAGTTCTGTAAAGAGGAATGGTCAAGAATTACTCCTGACCGTTGTGCACGTCTGATCTGCAACTACAGGAAACGTTTGGTTGAAGTTATTGCTGCCAAAAGAGGTTCAACCAGTTATTAAATCCAAGGGTTCACATACTTTTTCCACCTGCACTGTGAATGTTTACATGGTGTGTTCATTAAAAACATGGCAACATTTCATTCTTTGTGTGTTATTAGTTTAAGCAGACTGTGATTGTCTATTGTTGTGATCACATTTTATGACTAATTTGTGCAGAAATCCATATCATTCCAAAGGGTTCACATACTTTTTCTTGCAACTGTAAATAACTTGCTCTTATTGAGTTTAGATATTCCACAGTTACATTGTTAAAGATATAAACAGGCGTTTATAGATACATAGAAATCTAGGTTGGAAAGATTCTAGTTCAAGCTTAAAACACATCTTTTTATGCTGTAGATCCAAAAGAAGGCAAAAAAAAATAATTTGAAGCAATATGCTACAAAAAGGAAAGAAGAATCCTTCTTGCTTTTAGAATGGCAATATGACTTCCCATCTGATGAACAACCTGTCTGCATACATATTAATGCCTAAAGGATGGCGTGTGTACTATGCCATTCACCCTACCCACTGCAGCGAATCCCAAGCAGCCAATCTGGCCCTTACGGGCCATGTGATTGTGGTAACGTTGTGTTCTCTTGACTGGATTGGCAGTGCGCATGAGCCCCTGGGTTCTCAGGCAGATCCCCCAACGTTGAAATACAAGGTGAGAAAACAAATTACACACTTTACTGTATAAAATTTTTCTTTTTTTAAATGCTTGGATCATACATATGTGTACACTTTCAATCTAAGTATATTTTAATATATTTGAGGATGTAGTAGGCTCTCAATACATGCACTTGTGCATGCTCTGAGCAGGTCCAGCTACACACACCATATGGGATGGGGAGAGTTACATTCAGTGCAAGGGGGGAAGGGACACTAGCTGTCCCGTGCTGGCTACCAGAAAACGCAACTTTTTTCCAGTACCCTACACCAATATTTCTTTATTTGCTGACCTTTCTGCCACAACAATGTTAAGGAGGGATTCCATCACAATTACTTAAACCTTGTGCAATCAAGGCATTTCATCAGAGGAGGGATTGCAAATCTCAAAGAAACATAGAATGACAGCAGATAAGAACCATTTGGCCCATCTAGTCTGCCCAATTTTCTAAATACTTTCATTAGTCCTTTGCTTTATCTTAAAGGAACACTAGAGGGTCAAGAACGCAAACATGTATTCCTGACCCTATAGTGTTAAAACCACCATCTATCCTCCCATGACCCTGTCATGCCTCCCTAAATATAGTAAAATCTTACTTGTATTCAAGCTTGAAGCTGTAGCTCTGCATGTTGTTTGCCTCAGAACAGCAAGCTACCTGCTGACATCAGAAGTGGTGGCCTGATCCAATCACAATGCTTCTCCATAGGAGACTGACAAGGAGGCAGATCACGGGCAGAGCCAGTATGATTCAAACACAGCCCTGGCCAATCAGCATCTCATAGATGACTTGAATCAATATATCTCTGAGGAAAGTTCAGTGTCTGCATGCAGAGGCAGGAGACACTGAATATTTGGATGCATTTTAGGCAGCCATGACCCAGGAAGGATCTCTAACAGGCATCTGAGGAGTGGCCAGTGAAGTTATCACTAGACTGTAATGTAAACACTGCATTTTCACTGAAAAGACCGTGTTTACAGCAAAAAGCCTGAAGGTAATGAATCTACTCACCAGAACAAATTCAATAAGCTGTAGTTGTTCTGGTGACTATAGTATCCCTTTAGTTTAGGATAAAGGCCTGTAAAATCTTACGTGTCATTCCACCATTACAAAAGCCAAGAGCCTTGCCATCCAAAATCACACCAGTAAGTTGTCAGCTCACCCAAATGATATGTTTATATGCACATACTATTCTTTTTCTTTTATCCACTATTCTACAAACCACCGGTATTTTGAGACATTAAAAGGTTTGTGATGACTCAATACATTTTAAGTCCTTATGTGTTTAATGGCAACTAATTAAATTTCATCTATGTTAATTCTTATCCCAAGACCGACGTAAGAAAGGTTGAACTTGATGGACGCAAGTCTTTTTTCCTTTTTTTTTTTTTTTTCAGTTTATGTAACAATGACAAGATGACGTCTTTGAATAAATATTTCCACATCGTTATTGTTCTTACTGTAAATAACACATTATTCCTACTAATGACAGGTTGCCAGATAGCACTTTACAAATATACAATTTCAGTACAAACTAATATCATATCCTTTCAAGACACCTTTTATCTTCTTCTATAGAAAACAAATGGGGTTTTTATAGCCTTTCTTCATAACCGTTTTCCCTCTCCCCTAATTATGTTGGAGCTCGTTCCTGCAATATCCCTCTTGTAAACCAGTGGCCAAGTTTGCACTGCATAGTTAAAAAGAAACTATAGTTCCCCAGTTTTGAGACCATATCCATCTATCTGCTCATCATCATGTGAAGAGACACCAGACCAGTATGTATCATGTGCAATTTGTAATAGTGGAAGATGGTATTTTGAGCCAGTATTATGCAATCTGCAACACAACATCATGCTGGCTGTGGCAGACTATATAGATGTGTATATAACTTCTACATTTCTTAAAACAAGTCTTGTGTCACGGTTTCATCTCTAAAACAATGCAACCCATTCAATTGTTATGTATTTAAATCACTATATCTTGCCAGGAATGTGCGTGGAACGATTCTTTTATTTTATTTCACTCACTTTATGGGTGTGATATGAGGTTTTCTGCGGGGAGCTGTTCATGTGGTCTGAGTGGTGATTATGACTTTACAGTTAGCCAATTTTGCAGCAATTCAAGGTTGGTTACATTCTGTACTCTGCCCTTGGGTTTTTATGTCCAAGATGCATTATCTTGCACTCATCCACATTAAATGTCAGTTGCCACAACTCTCAACAACAATGAAACCAAGACCTGCAATTTCACTAATAAAAATATTAAAGAGAATGGGCCCTGTTACATATCTTAGTATCATCAGCAAAAAGACATACCTTACCATCAAGACCTTCTGCAATATCACTAATAAAAATATTAAAGAGAATGGGTCCAAGTACAGATCCCTGAGGTACCCCACTGGTGACAAGTCCAATCTTCGAATATATTCCATTGACTACAACCCTCTGTTGCCTGTCACTCAGCCACTGCCTTACCCATTCAACAATATTGGAATCCAAACTTAAAGATTGCAGTTTATTGATAAGCCTTCTACGTGCAACAGTGTCAAAAGCCTTACTGAAATCTAGGTAAGCAATGTCTACTGCAACACCCTGATCTATAATTTTAGTTACCCAATCAAAAAAATCAATAAGATTAGTTTGGCATGATCTCCCTGAAGTAAACCCATGTATCTGATCTTTAAATCCATGTGATTTTAGATGTTCAACAATCCTATCCTTTAACATGGTTTCCATTACTTTCCCCACTACTGAAGTAAGGCTTACTGGCCTATAGTTGCCCACTCCTCCCTATTACCTTTCTTGTGAATGGGCACAACATTCGCTAACTTCCAATCTTCTGGGACTACTCCTGTTAACAATGATTGGTTAAATAAATCTGTTAATGGTTTTGCTAGTACACCACTAAGCTCTTTTAATAGCTTTGGGTGTATTCCATCAGGTCCCATTGACTTATTTGTCTTTACTTTTGACAGTTGAAATA